GCTGACTTATATTGGGAAATTTTCCTAAATATTCTCGACTCTTCGGTGCTGAATTTATCTTACCTTGATATCTAAAAAAAGAAACCCGATAGGAAAAACATGATATTTCGTCTTTTTTTTACTTATAATCAGATTCTGAATCAGATTCATAATTTTTCGCTTCCTGTTATGAACAATGTATAAAATTATGAAAAATATTACTTGGTAAATTTTTAGTAAGTGTGATAAATACATAATTTTGATTTATTCTCATTTCCAATGTAGTAGGTGTTTATTTACTTTGAGAACACGCATCCACATCTTCCGGCTATAACTTTCTCCTAAGTATTGTAATGAACGTTTTATTACACTTCTTTTATAGGAATATGTATCAATTTTAACCTGCATTATAAACCCATCGTAAACACAGGTCTTCTATTCTGGGACTGGTATCCTTATTTTTGATTATGGAAAGTCACAAATAGTTTGGACCATAGATAATTTAGAATATTGTTTTAGTCTTATTAATTTAAAGTATACAGGGTGTCAAAAAATATTGTAATAAACTTGGAGGATTGGTAATACTCAAATATTTCGCCACACTTTTTCCCTTATTTTGACTAGTGCTACTAGTCCTAGAGGTAAACAGGTAAAACCTCACTTTTGAAATCTAGACATTTATTCTCGAACATTTTAAGCATCTTTTGAATTGAATCTATGTCGAATAAGTTCTTATACGACCATGTAGTCAAATCGAATATTTACCGTGACGCGTTGCAGCATTGGAAATCCCCTTGTTTCTGGTGTATACTTGAAATATTTCCCAAAACCTCAGATGACTTTCACTAGGCAGATTCGTCGCGGTTTATGAATTTCAACTCTAGTTTCCAATTTGCAAATAGGATGTGCACATCCTTTCCGCTGCATTACCACGAAAAAATATTGTAATAAGTTTCCTTTCGTGAGGTGTTGCGTCTTCTTGCAAAATTTGACATGGTTTTGCGGAGACAATGGTGCCATTTTGAATCGGCCTTTCTTTGAGTTCATCGCGGTTACGTAAAAATGTGCAAATGTGGAACCTTTTCCGTCCTTTCAGCAAAATTGCGCACAGGTTTATGTACAGAGGCAGTCGCAAAAATTGCAAAAACAGTTACTGTATTCGTGTATAAAAAGTGTTTTTGTATAATTCCACAAAAAACTGTATTATTTTTATTGTAGTAAAATTTTATAATATTGTCCTACAATATATATCTACCTCTGTGCTTGTAGCAGAAAGTAGTATACAGGGTGTAACATTGAATGGGAGCTACATTTATAGGAAGACTACCTTTGACTTTTTGAATCGCGTATAATGAAAACTGATTTTTTTGCCCCCTTTTTCGTAATTTTTCATACCCCGCCTCTGAACCGGCTAGTGTAACCTCAACCAACCGCGTGCGCTAGTTGCCAGCATGAGCTACACCATGCAGAGTTGACAAATCTCATTTTGAGGCGTGTAATATGTACAGTGTCATTTAAATAAAAATCGAACCCCGTTATCTTTCTTACTTTTATATCCAGGAAAAAATGGTAAAGACAAGTAAAGTTTTAGGAAATTTTCTATATAGAAAAAGATTATTATTATTATTATTATTATTATTATTATTATTATTATTATAATATTTCTGCATGTACAGTTACTTGGGTTATGTCAAAAAGCAGCAACTATAGACAATGAATTTCATTAAAATTGGAAAAAACTAAAATTTGTTGCGTTATAACACCATATTTTAAGTTCATGGATGAAACACCATGTACAAATAATCGTAAATGACAGCATGTAAGTACACCTAATGAACCCGTAGCAGACTTAATTTAAAAAATATTCTAAGCATTCCGCATGAAACTAAGGGACGTCGTGCCCTGACATTCCTATTTAATTTCCCCTTGGGATCCCTGCTGAAGGACTGGTAATAAAATTCTTGGCCCAAAATTTGTTTAAACAGAGCGCTCAAAAAACTTTTAAATTGGAACTGGAGAGCCCTTTCAAAAACAAGTAAATAAGATGCACGTTGCCAGTTATTTGTTTTGTCTTTATTACAGCATCATTGATTCCTACAATATATTGCGTTGCGTTCGGTTATAGAATAGTGTAGAGTAGAAAACGATTGATTTAAACGTTTCTTTATGTTGAGGCAACCTTTAATCGAGAATGTGATCTCTTTAAAGGAAATTCACAATGTAATCTAATAACTTTTTAAATAATTTATAAACTGAATAAACATANTTCCTGATTATAATAATATATATATATATATATATATCTATCACATATTTGCTTTGGTAGTTTGAACAATACAATACTTTGGTTTATTTACTGATTCTGCACAGTCAAGATTGCCAAGGAATAAACAAATATTTAAATTCTCTTTTAAGAAAAAATATCTTATTATAAAAGGTTTTACATAATACCTTCATCCTGTTCTAGACAAATGACATATACAGTGTGTCCCAAAATCATGGAACAAAATTCGTATTTTCTTTCCAGTTCAGATTTTAAAAAATCGCTGAAACAGGTCAATTAGTACATAGAAATTGTCACTTTTCTGCAACATTTTCATTTTTTTTTAATACGACGCTCTATATTTTCTACTATAAATAGCCCTTCTAAAGATGAATTCACCGATATAAGATTATACCTACTTTTATGTCACAGTCTTTAAAAAATGGAGGAATCAAATAAAAACAATAATTTAGTACCTACCCCAAGTAGCACAAATAAGTTTATAATAGCTTTAAGAATATCTATATAACCACTCTCCCACAGGTAAAAGCTTTATTAAAAGATGATGAGAAGAGTTATTCAGTATTAAATAAGCATTTATAAATCCAAAATAGGCGCAGCTTATAAAACCGTTTTATAAAAGCTGTGCGCATACAATATTTACTCCACTAATTAGTTACATCCTTACAGCATTTATAAAATATACTATAAAACCTTTATACAGAAAACATAGGCTGCATAACCAATGTACACTATTGTCTTATAAAACAAATTTGCTGGTATGTTGTCTTCTGGCCTACTATTTACGAAGTAGCTGTATAGTGGTGATGTAATTGTCTCCAAAGAAAAGCTTTATACGTGTTTTATAAAAGCTATTTCTTCAATTTGAACTCGATGAATGTTGTATTAATGTCTCCAACATACAGTACAACAAATTATTTTAGCAATATAATATATGCATTTATATACTAAATCGTTTTATTAATAAAAGCTTTGGGCTATGGCTGATTGTTGTTTACATAAAATAGATACTCAAGACTTAATGTTTACCAATATACAGTCATTAACAATAAAATTAATATGTATCTAGAGAATCAAAAACTACTTGCATCGAAAATTTTATTGACGAAATATACCACGATACCTTTAAAAAAAACTAAGAGCCTTTAAAATTAAGCAAATTTGGTAATCATGGGTAATAAATTTTGAAAAATGATGACAATTTTCGATTTAATAAAAAAATAAAGAATATGTACATAATAAGTTATTAAATATAATTCAATAGACATGCATTAAACTAATTATTTCATGATACATATATTATAAAATTGAATTTGTTTGTGGCGTAATTCTGGTGTACAATATGGCTGACATCTTGTCCTAAGCATGTTTGAAAAATATGGCCGTTAGGAGGATGTTTCTACCACAGTAACTAAAAATCTATTATAAAATAATTAAGATTTTAAATATTTTATATAGTATTTTGTAGAGTAATTTGCTGTCTACTGTCATGTTGCATATTGCTGCGAAATTATTCAACTATTGGCCCAACCAGATTGAACGGTAAACCTGCCAATAACACATAACCAGACTTAACGTCGTATATTAGTTTTCATTCCGTGCGTATCATTTGCGGCTTAATTTTGTTGCTCTTTGTAGTTGTGTCATATTAACAATTGTTAATGATTATTCAATATGAAATGTAGACATAAAAAGTTGTAATAATATTTAAAAGTGTTTTTCAAACTTTGTTGACTTCACTTGAATACTGTTTGAGATTTATTTCAAGATTCAAAGAAATATATAAAATCATGTACTTATGTGTAATTAATTTGTATCCAAAATAATCATAAAATATTAATCTATCCGTTTAACAGAGATACCATGCAACAGAGAACCTCGAATCTCGAATACTGAACAAATATCAGTAACAATTTCTCCTTTATATAATTTGTAGTCGCATAGTAATGTTTGCACCTCTGTATCATTTCTCCTAGTTTGAAAAAGACTGTTTAACGTTATGGTCTACTATTTTCATATAATCTCGTAAATGATGCGGTGTATCATGATTAGTTTACCGGTTTTGCTGGAAATAATTGAAATCGAAAGATTGCTTCATTACACAACCAACTGTTATAATGAAATGCAATCCTTGCTTTTTATAACATCTACTTCGTAATCCGCTTTGGCAAGCATCTGGGGTAAATGTCAAGTAGGTAACAATTTAGAAAACAGAGAAACATTTTATTTGACAAATAATTTGTCTTCAGATAAAAAATGAAATACATACAATGTGTATTTAAATATATGTATTTACAATCAAAAGTTTTTTCAGGGATTTATTTACATTTTTTAATTTCACCAATGGGTGAAATTTTTTTGTGCCAGCAAACAATTGTTATTAAAGATTGGTTCTCTCACGTCTCATTGTCAAAGTACCTCGACTTTCTGATTTTAATAATAAAAAGTACATAGCAAATTAATAGCCTATTGAATACAATAGGTTTTTATACATGTTTAATTATACTAAGAGTTCATTAACTCAATTACAAATTCGCTCGCCATTTTCCACTATCACTGACCTCCATTTTTTAAAATAATAACTATTCTTAAGATAGCATTGTTTAAATATTATGAGGAATGTGTTGTCGGCTGTTATAAATATAGATATTCCGTAAAAAATACAGTCGTATTATAAGAAATATGTTAATGTTCTTTATATTATGTGTTGAAATATTTGCATTTCTTTCTGTTACAGACCCAATCAGCCAAAATTTCACTCAATGGAAATATGTAAGTAGAAATATTACTTCTGTTTCTCATTATCATATAATAAAACTACAAGGTCTGTTTAGGAAATAACCGAACTTTTTGAACTACGCGCTCATGGAAATATTTAGTGATATGCGGTTGGCAGCATTGCGCTACGCATAATCTCCTCTATAACCACATGTCCGTGGATTGTTGATATCTCGTTTAGTTTTTTGCAATATGCGATTTTCTGGAACAACGATGCAATGTAAAATTTTGCGTGCAACTAGTCTCAATCCAATGTCAAAGTGACTAAAAATGTTTTTAATATGATTTTCATACCTGTTTATATGCGCAGCTGAAGTGTTTTCCACCGGCATTTTTTCAGTGGAACGTATTATCATACGTATGATAAAAAGTACGATAATATTAATCAACTATAGCAGCTAAATACGTGATTCAAAATTCAGTACAAAGAATTTAGGGGCGTATTTTTGAAATTAGAATAAAACTTTTTTTTCTTATAAACGTGAGTCCACAAATACTTAGTTTAAATTAAAATCAGTGCTGAAAGGATGCCGTTTTCAGACTATCGATGACATCAAAGCAAATTCGTCACAGACTTCAAAAGCCATCTCAAATCAATCTATCCAGGACTGCTACTTTGAAGGAGACAATGACCAATAATGTATAAAATTAATAATAAAGTTTAAAAAATAAAAGTTCGGTTATTTTCTGAACAGACCTCGTACATATAGGTATATATATGCACACAGCAACAGAGAAATAGGGTTAATGTGTTCAGTCTTGCTTCCAAACTGTTTACTTTGGAAGTGTTATATGTTCTCATCGTGACGACGTATATTTTTCAAACAAATTTAATATTCCAATCACAAATAAATATCATTTAGGCAACATTTCCCAGACCAGGAAATTTCTGGAAGTAATCGTATTTATATTAGTACAAATAAGAGTTGGATTCTGGGTCAAACCAAATATTTAGGTACTCGAATGTACCTCATTTATATGAAATTACCTCTAAAAATATGATATACAATGATTTAACTATAATGTTGTGGGAAACAACTATTCTGCAGACTAAGCCTACCAGTATTACATTACAATCCCAATATTTAACAACGTTAAGATCAGTCGTCAGTAAAACCATCAGATAAATACCGATTTCGAACTTATTTGTTCTCATCAGGTGAGGCGACCGATAAATAATCTCTCTCAATTTCACCACATTGTAGGCATCGAGTACTATATCTCACCCATACAAAATGATTGATGGTATAGTTAAAATGTGAGTCTAATAAAAGTCTATGAAAATTGCTGTAAGTATTGATATTTAAGCAATAATACGGTATATTTTGTTAATTTCTTAAATACCTGTTTTCCCTGTATAACATCAGGAATGCAGAATATGCAGGGTAACCATTATATCAGAATATCTTAAAAGAAGAAGCGCAATTATCGACATGCAACCAAATGTAGACTGATAACTATATAATTTCTCCACATTAAGCACAAATTTACTTTTCACGCATAAACTCACCTATATTTTCTAACAATTTACACTTACTACTTACCTTTGCTGTTCTCTGTTATTAACATTCCAACTCCAGTAATGATAGTTTTTTTCCTTCGGCTCAAAATTGGAAGGCCACCTATGTGTTGAAATACCGCAATAAGTAAGCATTGCGATATTTTTTATATAGTTAATAATTAAAAGAATCCGTTAAGCGTTACGGTTGTGAAGAAACAAGGAACACGTTATTAGCGTCAGCGCTACCGTTGTAAATACGATTATTGATTGTAAATAAGATTTATGATGACGAAAAAGATATGCGCCTTATAAAAATGGCAACCTTTGGGACATTCTGTATAAGGTGTTGTTGCAGATCGTAATAGAGAATATAACATAGTAGAAACCATAGTAACTTATTTTAATGTGCTTGCGGCAATAAAACATTTCTTCTGTTCTAAAAGCACAGCTGTTAAAAATTACTACTAACTATCTAGTATTTGTTCACATTGTTGACACATTGTCTTTGTAGAAATATTACTTTTAATATTCATAAGAATTTTTCCACAAGGTTTTTGAAAGAAATATTTGCTGTAATGCATTTAAATATGTCTCATTCAATACGCAAGTTATTTTATCTAAAAATTTACATAAAACTTATGTTTATATTTCTTTATTTTTTTTTTCAATTAATATACGGATAGTACAAAACATTCTACCCCCATATATTTTTTACTTTCCATCTAGAAAAAAATGGTGCAGGCTAAATTTTAGGATTTTTTTCTTTTCGATGTGTACACCTTTTTTTATTGGAACATATATTTTTCACTTTTTCGAATTAACTGTTTTTTGACAACTTGATTTATTTACAGACCCTCCACAAAAATCATATACTCATATACATATTCTCTGTTAAGAAGAAGAAGAATTTATTACTGTCATCACCGATTTATGTCATCTGTGAAAATTGTAACAGCCTCCAGCAGTTGACATTGACATTATTTCTTGTAATATAAAACCAATAAGAAACTTGTTTTAATTGACTGTTTATTATTGCTTTTTTGTGCCTGTTTATATTTAAACCCATTTTTGGACCGCTGCTGACCGCTGGCCTACAAAGGTTTATCGAGAATGAATCTTGACCTGTGTCATAATCGGTCACTAACCTAGCCTTTACTGTGTTTTTAATAGTGAACAACAAAACAGACCTTTTTAGATACATAAATGAATAATATACTTATTTACATTTTAAATATTAACAAGTATTATGAATTTGTTAATAAAAGCAAATGTATAAGGATAATAATTGCTTTCAAATGTTAGGTTATTTAGTATTTTTAATATTGTTAACGTTTACATCATGTTTTTTAATTGAATATGAGTTTTCAGTATTATGTTCAGGTAATTATTCAGTTTGTAGTACGTATACCTTATTGTGTGACTTATTGCTTTTCAAAGAGTAGTAAGGTACCTATTTAAAATGACAGTACGGCTAAGAAACAGTCACTGATCCGTCTACAGCACTTTGTTAATAAAGTTGGAATTCGCTGCACTTTGATTTTGAAACAAAAATTCAAGACTATTGGTGAAATCAGCTGTTTCGCTTCAACGTTCGAACACTTTGGAGTCCGCCTGCCGCCAAGTTCCCTCTTGCGAGGTGGGGCGCCGAGTTAACGGTAGTTAAGGGGTAATTTGTTTATTTTTTAAGAGGTCCAGTAACGAATTTCTGTGTTCATTAGGCCTTCCGAATACATGGTTAAAATTAATGACTGAATCACATATATATGGAGGATTAGTAAATAAACCAACATATTGTGCAAACTATCAAAATTGTATTCTACATTTTTTATATTTAATTTTTTTTGGACCGTTAGAAAGTTTTCTAAACCCATTTTGTCTTAAATAGAAAGGTAAAAGAAGATCAATGGGGAAGAATGTTATGTCAATACTATTACACTAAATTAAGATGAATATCTTACAAAACCTTTAAAGGACATGTTTGATAGAACGAACTAAAATTATTTTATAAAGTTCTTCGATCCTCTATCGTTAAATCACCCTGTATATTGATAATCCAGCCTCTAGACAGAGAAATAACCAACTAATGATGCGATTAGCGAACTTATTTTAATCCCGCTAATGTTTGATGGTTTGACATTTTAATTTTTTTAGGTCGATGTATTCATGCTTAATAATAAATGTAAACGGACTATCGGAGAACCTTGGTGGGATCTTATTATCGATATTGTCGTAATTAAGTAGGATTTTCTTGTGATTAATTATTATGCTTCGTATCGTGCGAGTAAATGTGCGATATAATATTTGCAATTAACTTCCAGTGTCAACTTCTGATGAATGCCTCTGTTGTTTTGAAATAGGTATAATCGGTGACAGATTGGTATTTTTAGCTGTGACCTTTGCTTATGAACTTAATATTATATAAAAATAGATATTGTGCATTTCTTAAAATATTTAATTGGAGGAGGGTAGATTTGTATTGTTTTAAGTTTCTTGTCAAGTGAATGTATAAGAAATGATTTATGCAGGGTGTTTTCTAGTACCTACAGAAAATTCAGGCATGTATTCATGTTTAGTTGTAGTCAGCGTACAAATTTGATGTTTTTAATATGTTGGTAGCTATAAATTAAAAAAAATTGCTGCTTTAGTAAATTACCAAATGCTATGGGTACTATTACTTCTTTTTCATAAAATAATATACCATCTCGTATAGTATCAGACACAAAACTACTATTTCGAGAATTGTTATAAAGAATTTCCATATTAACCACGTTTGATCAAATGAACTACTGGTAATTTTTTTATTGTATCACTTTTTTTACAAGGAACACTTACCAGATTTGTGCCGACATTTTCATGAAAACGTTTTGGTAACTGAACTGTTTGAAGTCACTCACTCATGGCACTCAGATAACGGATGTGGTTTATTCCCCCACACTGCAAATAAATGATTTGTCAACCAGTGGATTAACAACCATGTCAACATTGGCCGCGTATATCAATAGATTGGAATACCCCAGATTGTTCTTTCGTTTTGGGGGCACCTCAGAACCTTAATCCAAAATGGCAAGAGTCACACCTGACTTTTTTAAACGCTTTCGATATTCAATAAGCAGATCTAAAGCGTATATTTTGTATAAAGGTTTTCATTTGCAACAGTTATTATAAATCTAGTATCATAATTCATTATTTGTTTTAACCCGTACTTAACATAATATTAACATTAACATAACAATATCATAAAAATAAATAAAAAGTTCAGTTATCACAACGGATTGGCAAAGGATCTCCACTCCTCAAGAAAGCACATCAGTTTCGATCCAGTGTCAAACTGATGCTCACTGTTTTTTCGACTTTAATAGAACTGTGCATTTTGAATTCTTGCCTCAAGGCAAAACAGTGAACTATCAAGGCGTTTTACAACGTTTACGAGAAAAAATCAGCAAAAGGAGATCAGAGTTGTGGCAAGCAACTCCCGGTTCTTGCACCATGACAATGCGCACGCACACTCAGCTTTGTGTTAAAAGTCAGTTACTATATTCCTTCACCCTCCTTACTCGCCAGATCAGGCTCCTTGTGATTTTTTCTTATTTCCGAAATTAAAATTTATGACATAAAAGTAAATTCATCACAAACCCTAAAGGCCACTTCAAATGAAGCTATCCAGAACTGCTTTACTAAATGGACACATTACTAGGAAAAGTGTGTTAATAAAAGAGAGCAGTACTTTGAATTGGACAAGGACCAATAATAATGTATAAAATTAATAAGTTTAAAAAAGTTCGCTTATTTTCTGAACAGGGCTCGTATTATTCATGTAAAATTATTAAACAGATGCTATGTATGATTAAAACTCTATATTTTTAACTTCAACATCCTGTGTATTGAAAACGAAACGTCTTTCGACAAATTTTTATATAAATTACCCTCATTATTCCGATAACTGGGAAATTGTCACCTAATCGATCTACCAGAGGCATTAAATGGTATTAAAACCTCATTTATGAAGCAAACCGAATTTTGTCGGCGTTATCTGATAAGTCAGAATATCGGCATTGCGTTAAGAGTGTTAATATAAGAAACTATCGTCCCTGCAGTTGAAATGTTTCGGTGAATAAATGTTTATCTGTTTGGTTTACTATTAGTCATGTTATGTCTCATTTAGATATACTTTTAGTGCTAGATAGGACTATAATACGTGAAAGTGCAAAGGAGAAACAAGTTTTTGGCGAGACTGTGAGTAACTACTTCAGTAATCCTTAACTCTCTTTTGTTAAATAACTTGAATTATAATGTTAGATCGTAATGCTTCTACTCATTTTAATTGTTGCGTCATTCTTCTTTCGGTTATGACGTTTAGACGTTTGATGTCATTTACTACAAACAGAAATATATGAAAGGAATCTGATATTGACACAGATATTCATAAAATTGTTTAGTTGATATATAATTTGTTATTAAAAAATAATGTTTGATTTAAAGTCATTGTTCTCGAGCCAGATAAGAAAATAATATTTTTACTAACAAAGCAAATTTGATATCAGTGTCATTCATCGGAAAGTATTTATTGTTTTCATTACAATAAGTAAAAAGGAATTCATAAAACATATTATTTTTATCACCATGTGAACAACATATAATCTGTAACACGTGCATAACAAAATAATTTACTAAACGTTTTTAATTGGTTCAAAATCAGAAAGTTTACACGATGTACTACTATTGTTTTAGAATGAGAATTTATCGTAACAGCGTGCTTGTAATATATGTAGAAAGAAATATTCAGAACTTATAGCATCAATCTTTACAGTGGCGGTTTTACCATAAGAGCTGCGGAGCTGCAGAACACATAAAATTTTATGTATTTAATCATATTAAATATCAACAAAATCTTTAAAGAATCCAAATGTACTCGCGCTAAAATAAATCTAGGAGCTTATATTATTATTTATTGCGACGCGAGCTACGCTCCTTAATATATGCAACCTCATATACACAATGTGTGGACAGCGAACACCGAGATGCGTCCTTTGTTTTTATTGGCTAATCAGGCTTGTGACGTCGTGACCCACGTCACTTTTACATGGGCTTTTGTGGCTGCAAACAACGACAGCCACTGCTGCAGTAAATGCAGTAATATTTCGTACGTGGTATGTGCTGGTTTATTTCTACGAGCGGCACGTGTGAATATTTTCGTTTAGGCGTCTACGGATATTATAGTTATTAAAATGAATAGTGTTTCGTTTTTACAAAAAACTTTATTTGGTTCTCTGCGTTATGAGGATAAACTAAAAATAAAAGAATTAAATTAAATTATTAATTAATAATTAATAATTAATTAATTATTAATAAATTAAATTCAATTAAATATTGAAGTTAGTGGAACAAACCGAAGTAAGTTATAAAAGACAATTTAACAATAATGTATACACAAAAGCAGAGTGGGTGTGCGGGTGTGATATAAAAAATACACTGTTTTGTTTTCCGTGCTTTCTTTTCGGTGGGGATAAAGCATGGACAATATACAGTGTGAAAGATTTAATTCATTTAAGTCATTAGGTAAAATAAACATAAGAAGTCAGTTAGATTCTGCATATTGGGATAATATACGGAAACACAATGAACAGGTAACGAAAAATTGTTATGTATTATCTAATATCATAGACTGCAAAAAATTTTGCGGAGCTTTCGAATTAGAACTTCGCGGACATGATGAGACAGAAAATTCGGACAACTCTGATGTGTTTCGTGGACTCATAAATTTAGTGCAGATCTTGACGACATATTAAAAGAACATGGGTATGACCGGGATTTCCTGTGATTGTACCGGGAATTAGCTGTATGGTCCCGTATTTCGGATTTGCAAGTATAACTCCCGGAATATATGTACGTATATATATATAAAAAGATAAAGAAAAAATCATAACACGGCGAGGAAAATTAAAATTCGTTGAATCGTTGGTAAACTTCACAAACGATTTTTTTGTTTTTAAACAATATTCAATAATTTAATAAAATATATTTAGTTTATTCCAATTTATTTATACCGTCAGTAGGTAATTCGTGAATAGATATTTCAAAAAGGTATCAATTTCAAAAATCGTTGTGAAAATCTGTATTTTTGTATAAATTCATTGTTCCTTGAAATTCAGAAGTGCCAGGAAAACGCGTGACCTTGAAAATTTTAAAATTTTTCGCCTGCGGCGCCATTTACAGGCTCTCCGGGCACTTAATATCCCGGAATTCAATTCAACAAATGTAACAATTCTAAGCAGAACACATTCAATCAATGTACACGCGCCGCCACTGAATCTTTAGATCGTTACATACCTATTCATAGTTAATTATATCCTAGTTATGAATTCAAACACCGTGAAGAAAACATTCCACAACTTGAAGGTTATGTAGATAGGTTTGACCTAAAATGGGACAAATAATACAGTGTCCTTCATAGAACAGTTATTTTAAATTTAAAACAAGAATTTGCGGTGGCCATTTGGGTCAGAGGTTCCTAGAGCTTATTTAATTCTGTCATCTACTAGTGGTAATTGAAAATTCACAGCAAAAAAATCCTAATGAGATTTATCTTTTTTTTTCGTAAAATATATTGGCGAATGAGAATTTTGATTTCGAATATTTATTAACAAAGAATTAGTATTGTTTATATTGAAACTGAGCCATTTTTGCTTATCAACTAATAATATGAACATATATCAATAAATTGTCCATTTTATTTAAAAAATAAATAATTGTTTTATCTCCAATATAGATACTATTATAGTAAACCATTAAACAATGGTTTTGTTGGCTTTCCAACCTAGTTCATCTATCAGTTTTCTTTATTTTCCCCGTCGACGTCTTCCTTGATGAGTCCCAAGGGATTTTCAGTAGGCATTGCACTCAAATTTCCACTCACCCCACTCGTCCACTGCGACTCTTCCGTAGGTGCACCAGTTGTATTCTCATCCGTTGCCTCGGTGTTGCTCGGATCTTCGGTCTCCGTCACAGGGGTTCCCTTCTTAAGTACTTCGTCATCCTCATCGTCAGCGGTAACGCTGCCTCTGGTGTACGCACCAGCCTCTGTGTCTGTGGTATAGTCCGTCGTAAACTCCGTTGTAGTTGGCAGTTCTGTTTCTTCCTCGCTGCTCAGTTCATCGAAGATCTGCTCTAGAATATTTTTTTTCCTCAGTTCGGCTTCTTCTTTCTCTTCGAAAGTGACGGCGTCTTTATTGAGGCGTTTCAAATCGGGGAGCAGAACTATAATAGGAATCCGCGTTGGATCCTTTGAAACAAATTGGTCCTCACCGAACATCTCTTCTTCATCCACTTCTTCATCGCCTTCTCCTGGAACTTGAAGTTCTTTAGTTCCACAAACAGGATTTTCTAGGATTATCAGCGTGTCCAGTTTAGGAAGGCACTGTAGTTTCCTGAACTCCCTCAACTTATTAATCTTGTTGTTTCTCAGATTTAAGTAAGTTAAATTTGGTAGTTGATCTGAGAACCCGTTCAGTTTTTTTATCTGGTTGTCCCTGAGATGCAAGATCTTCAAATTGGTCAACTTTGAGAAATCCACAACGATCTTGCTTATCTTGTTTTGATTCATGTACAGCTTCTCTAAAGAGGAGGGATACGTACCAGAGAAGTCAATGAGTTGGTTGCCTCGCAAGTTCAACATTTTGAGGTTACTCAGGCGTTCGCTGTCGAACTGGATGGTGTATATCAAGTTGTCTTGCAGTTCCAAAGTCTCCAATTGTGGTTGATTAATGTCACAAGTCTCTGTGACTTGGTTCATGTTCAAATTCAGACACTGTAAGTAATACATCGGTTCCAAAGCTGCTGATTCTACTTTGTTCCTCTCTACCTTGAGATACAACAGAAAAGGCATCCCCGAAAGCACCTGCAGCGCGTCCAAATTCAAGAAGTTATCGCTGAGGTCTATGAACAACACGTGCTTGAAGTTGAGGATGATGGAGATGTCGGTTAGTTTCCTGGCAGTGGCGGTGATCATCAGATAGGCGTATCTTACTCCGCTTTCGTCTTTGCCCAAGGTGTTGAGACATTTTGAGGCCTCGTCGAAGGTAAGTTTCTTTTCCTTTATAGGTTCTTCGATGATGAAACGTGATATGGCGGTGGGCGAAGTTAGACCACCCTCGCCCACTTGGGGTGAGAGCATACCCTCGCCAAACTCTTCCTCCATTATGGAATATGTTTTTGACGTTTTTGATGTCAAAGATATTTTTTTACCGACAAAAAATGGGTAGATAAGTAACCTTAATAAATGCTTCAAAACTTTTCGGGGGTAATACCATAAGAGCTCAGACTTAGCCGGATATTTTTTATTTTCGAGTACTTACTGTATAGTGGCAATTTAACGACAGCTGTTGCGTGTTGAACAGCTGGAGTTAAATTACCTACGAAAGTAAGTGCGAGAAAACAAACACAAAAAATATCTAGATTAAAATCTAAGCTCGAATGATATTTGGTAAGACAATTTCGTGAATAGAATAATGCTAAAATTGAATTAAAACTTTAATTAAAAGTACACAAACAAAAGACAATGAACGCGTGTTAATAATAAACAGAATATTTTTTTAAAGTGAACAATTATTAAATAAACAATTATTGTAAATAATTTGCCCTGTTGACGTTGACTCTGTTAATGATTCTCTTGTGGATGCTGATTGTATGGCTGACTTGTTATTCAAAGTTTCATTTCGAAGATTTGTTACAAGATTTGAGTGATGATCGTTGTCCGGTTGTAAATAAGGTTTTATAGAATTTGCTGAAGAATGTCAAGTTATCTTAATTAGTTCTTGTTCATTAACACCTGCTTTAGCTAAATTTGATACTGCGCTTGTGAAAGATTAGAAATTTTTTTATTTTTCGTGCCCAACCCAATTTTTCAGCTGATATTTTCATCCACCTCCTATAGGAAAATTTTTTAAACCAATCTTTTGATGCATAATTTTTCCAAAAAGGATTGGAAGTTAGAAAAGTCTGTCAGTTGAAATATAATCCGCTCTGTGTGATAAAATTTTATCAAATAGTCTTACTGTACTGGGCAGATATCAGGATTTTCCATATTTTTTATTAACAATTGTTTTTGATAACACTGTATTGTATTCAATGCGGCAAGTTAACTCTCCATTATTAGATTTTTCTTCCTTAAAATAATATATTTTGCAATTTGTCTCGTCTCCTTGCCAAGCTAGTTCGTATGCAGCAATATGAAAAAATGTTTTCAAAAGGCCTATAGGTGTATTTTCATCCCGTATTAGCGCTATTTTAATAATGTCACTTTGCGATAGTGCAAAGGAACTCTCTTTGCGTTTTTCGAAATTACTCCGCAACTTCTTTCGTCTAGAATTGCGTGCGACACGGGCTTTCTTGAAAGAAGAACCGGTGAATGGGTTGAAAATAACGTTAAAATATTGAAAATACATATTTTACAGCATTTTTGGTATTCCGTGATATTCGATTGTTCCAATTTATTAATATCCTTGCCGCATTTTCAATGCACTACCTACTGTGTGTCCAAACGAAAATTTCTTTCTTTACAAAATATTCTAAATTGGCTCCAAATTGATGATTGGCTTTTTTCATATTTTTTGGGATACAATTTTCGATTTCATTTACTATTTCTTCTTCACACGTATTGCCAACAGGCGCGGATCCAGGGGAGGGGGCATGGGAGCGATCGCCCTCCCCCCAAATGGTCCGAAAATAAATCAAAGATGAAATAGAATAAATTAATAAAGATAAAAACGTTCCCGTTTAAAAAATGTCTGAGTTTTCTTGATTGCATTACTTTTTTTTAGACATCAATTGTACAATGTGACCTAAATAATACCTTTGAAAACAGTTCTTGTGGAATATTAGACCGCAAATATTTTACCCTTAATACCTTTTACAGGTCCACAATAATATTTATCCTCGATATAATATTCTTAATGTTGAGGATATCGCACTGACTTTGAAATTATGCGTTGATTGTGGTTCTATTGTATACCACTTGAATTAATTCCCATGTCTTTCGCGGTCAGGTTGTACACCATGGGTCATGTAATATAACGAGCGTTCAAATAAAAACGTGGTCGAAGTTGGCTCTGACACATTGGACGTAGGGAGTAGCTTATAGCGACCAATTTAACCTCATTTCTCAACGAGCTGTATAGCAGCTGTCAGTTTCAATAACGTTAATGACTATATAACTTTATTTTAAAGAATAATCGTGATAACAATAACAAACAATTAAAGGAGCTGCGGAAAGTGTCCCCCTCCTTGTTCCAAGCACTTTTTACACCTGTTCCTCAAATAATTAAAGACATTTTCTAAGATGCTCGGGGTATTGTTAATTTCACGAATCTTGTCTATAAGTCGAGCCTGCAGATGGTTTAAATCAGGAATAGGCAGTTCAAAAATAGTGTTTTTAAGGTAAGGCCACAAAAAGAAATCACACGGCGTAATATCACATGACCTCGGTGGAAATTCATGTTCAGCATTGAGACTTATTAGTCGATTTTGGAAAACTTCCCTCAACATATTCATCGTCTCGCCTGCCGTATGTGCCCTTGCGCCATCTTGTTGAAAGTAAAAGTTTGTAATTTCGTTTTCTTCCAGCTGGTTAACAAAAGGAGCGATAATTTCTTCTCTATACCTTTGCGCAGTAAGAGTACCATTAAAAAAATAGGTCCATAAATCCTCCTTCGATTGAGAGCACACCAAACTCCAATTTTTTGAGCGTGTAGAGGGCCCTCGACAAAAAAGTTATCTGGTTTTTCAGAAGACCACATTCTCATATTCTGTGAGTTTACGTAACCACTTAAATGAAACCAGGCTTCATCAGAAAAAAAGGTGATATTATGAAGTTCACCGTAGTTGTTTAAAAACCATTCACAAAATACAGCCCGTCGCGGAAAATCAACTTCATGAAGTTCTTGCTGACAAGTTAAACGATAGGAGAACAAACGCAAATCTTTTTTTTAACACTGTGTGGCAGGTACCGACTGATACTCCCACCATTTGTGATAAAACACGTACAGAAGTTCTTGGCGCATTTTCCATTATTTGTTGGACATTTTCTTTTAATTCTTCAGTCCGCTTTTTAGGTCGGCCGCTTCCTTCTTTTCTTGTTACACTGCCCGTTTCACGAAAAACATTAACACAACGCTGAACTGCACTTTGAAAAATTTTGTACTCAACAACGCCGGGAAATTGATTTTGATTTTGAAATTCTATGAAACATTCCTCAATAGAATACTTCCATATTCCATCAATCTTGCGTCCATTTCTAAAGTAGGACTCTATGATAAACACTTTTTGTTCTTGAGAAAACACCATTTTAAACGAACATTTTCAAATTGATAGCGGCGATATAGCGCTTTGACAGATGACGTTTAAGTTCATTTGCTATACGCTACGCCCTACGTCCAAATTTTCAGAACCAACTTGACCACGTTTTTATTTGAACGCTCGTTATAAACAAAATTTTGTTTGTTTGGATTATATTTAATATTACCTACGTCATATCCTCCAAAATGTACACATTTGTTTCACAATTGTATACGTTACGAGTGGGTTGTGGATAAATTATATTGTTAAAATTACAAGTCTTTGAACAATGATATAGGAAGACCATGAGAGTTATTAAAATGGCGATGATGATATTGCAAACTTTAACAGCCAGAATACTGTGCAGTATGAAAATCTACATAACCGCGAAGATATGATTAATGTATAAAAATTTAAAAGAAAGTGAAAATATTTGCAACTGAAATGAACTGTGAATTTTGCATCGAACCACTGCGCTTATTCATACATCTGCTGTATCAGACACCATTAACTTAGCTTTTTAATGCAAATGTCCATTGTCTACTGCTGCCGCGACCGTCCATGGTCATGTCCAGGCTTTCCTTATCATATGAATTACAAATTGAAGTTGTAGGTGAACAGCATTCCACTTTTAATACGCCTAACGAGACTAATTGAAGACGTCTGCCACAGTCGCACAGCAGCGATATCATTAATACGGTTAATTCCGATATTTGCCAAGTTTTCATCTGTCCCTCGACAGTTGGTGATTCAACTTTTTATTAGAGAACGCCTACGCGAAAAAGGACGGGACAGGGAATTTTTTAATTACCCTGTTATTAAGCCTCTGAGTTTGTTCATAACTACTTTATGTAATCACGTATATCGGAGAATAACTAGTTTCTTTTCTGGTGGGCGGCTGTAAATGTTAAATCGACGGCATTGTTTTTAGTAATTAGTTTTAAAATAACTAATGTGTAAATGTTTTGTAACTTTTAAACAGTGCGTTCTGTCGAGGCTGGTCTTAAATAACTTTGTTGAAGAATATGAACAAATTGAACAAACTTCTGATAAATGATAAATATGATAAATAAAAATGATTGTTGCTATAACAATAATTATTATTTGTGTCATTTTGTTTATTCATTTGACACTTAGCGTTAAAGTACTAAATAAAAAATGCATGTATTTACAACTGAAGAGTATGCAGATATTATCTTTCTATGTGAGGATACAGACGAAGGACATTAACCTGCCCACACAGTTTTTAGTGTATCATTTCGTAGACTTCGAGAAGAAGGTAATCCCGCTCCAAAAAAGGCCAATCGTCCTACTAAAGTGAATGTACAAACTGAAGAAAATATAATAGATGCTGTCATTGACAACTCTTCAATTAGTGTTCGGCGTATAGCAACTACCTAATCTTCATTTATCACCGACTTTTGCATGGTGTGTATTGAACAGAGAAATGTTACATCCGTTTCATCGCCAAAATGTACAAGCATTACATACTGGTAATGCTTATAACTGAGTTATTATCTGTTTCATAGTTCCAAACATTCTCAAATTTGTAATAAATTTAGAAAAATACATTTAATTTGGTGATTGTCTTTCGGGATAATTTCTAATATAATTGTTTAAAGCCACAGTTCCTTTCCTATTATTTTTAATAAAGCGCTCCAAATCACATTTTTCTTCATTGGAATAACGCAAAGCATAATTTTTTCACTCAAAGCCATGACATTAATGATAAGCTTTTACAAAAATTTGATACTATTCAATAACTGTTTTCGAAAAATTATGCGGTGTTGCCAGATTTACTTAAAATATTGATTTTTGGGGGTGTTTTTGAAATTTTTGAACTTATATTATATCATTGAAAAGCCAAACAAATGCTCCACTTGCTCAGCTTAGAATTTTAAAAATTCCTCTAAATAAAAAAGTTACAGATGATTTTCGAAAACGCCACATTTACTTTTTTTCAAAATAACTCAAAAACCTGAGGAGGACAGGTCTGCAAGCGCCAATAAGTTGGCAACAAAACTGTATAAAACTTTCCCCATTTAACCATTTTCCTATCTCTTGTAGTTTCTAAGATACCTATACATGAACCACCACAATGGTGCACACCACAGACCACCTAGACTGGCCGTATCTAATTCCAATGCACGGGTACCAGTGAATGCAAAATCCGGGGAAGTGGAGTGTGGAAGGCAATCTGATCGCGCGCATCTTTAAGCAGATCCGGATTAAGTAATTCTTACCTACTCATTTATTACTTAATTATCGATTTATATAATTTCTCACTGAATATGAAAAATGTGCAGGTGCGCCATCTATTTGCATTCACAATTTTCTCCTTATATTTAAAGAGACGTCATCAAGAATAACCCAAACCAATTCAGTAAAGACCTCGATAAAGACACGTAGATACATCGTACAAAAAAAAATCGATAAAAACGAAACGGCACAAATATCTCCAATACCGTTAGAGATAGCTATAGGGAACCTATACACAGTTTGAAAGAGTTTTAAATTTCCCAACTCCCAAAGTAAAAATATACTGGGTGTTCCATTTAAAATAATCAAGTTATTGCTGTTTAAAGTTGAGAGAAGTATTCAGCAGTTTTTTGAACACCCTATATAATACTAAGTGACGACAAATATAACAATTTATAACTTCAAGCATCTAAAATAGACCCTCCAAAGCAGCTTCCTTAAAAATATTTTTTTATTGCTATATTAAATTTCTACCCTAACCATTTTCACTAAAATTGAAATATTTCACAAACTATAAGTCCTAGGTATGCAGAACCTTTAATAAAGTTCACCTATTTTTTTATGGTGCTTTCAAAAATGCAGTAAAATACAGGGTGTTCCATTTAAAAAAACATAACTTTGATATGGTATGCTTTTCCTAGACACCGTGTATATCTCAAAATATTTTTAAAATGTAGGCGTAATCAACCTACACATACCCACCTAAACAGGTTTCTGTAACATTAGCCGTTTGGTCACTAGCGACCGAGGCGTTACTGGTGGCCCACCCTGTATATTCCTTTATTTTACTTACCTAAAGAAGGAAACTTTTCGCTTCTCTTCACCAACTCGATCACTTGTATTTATACAACGTTTTACAATACACTTGCCCATGATAAAACGTCTAATTATCGAAATCACAGCGATGCGTACACATCAAATGCTAGGACAGACTGGGCGCTGGGCACCAAATCAGGCTCCGAAGTGTTTTCATCAAATCGCTCTATAAGCCAGTCTAGGTGGTCTGTGGTGCACACTGTATATAACACGCTGACGCTTATCCAACGAGTTTGAGACACGAATCCCCTCTGGGAAAATACGGGAAGTATAAAATACATCCGTTTAGAAACAATTTTGGTGTTACCTACATCTGCTAGGAAGGCATGCAATGTTGATTGATATATGATTTATTTAAAGATGTTTCCAATTTCACTGTTTATTTTTTAACATTCCTAGTTTTTCGAAAGTTGTTTATCAGGTTGGAAAGGTGCGATTGATATTTAAGAATTATTTATTTTATTTTTAGTTTGTGTGGTCAGTGTGCATTTGTAAACATCGTGGTATCGTGCTGTTCTGTGATATCCGGTTTGTTTTTGAGAGGAGTACATTCTTTCAAGGTTAAATATTTATTTCATTGAGAGATTATACCTTGAAGCATACAAATTATCGCCATGATTGAACGCTAAATTTCGATAGCGTGTATAAAATTTCTCAGTTTTTATTATAAAGACATTTCACTTTATGTAAAGACTGATTTGGCTTAAAAAACGAGTACCATATCATATCACATTGAGAAGATATTTAAATACCTAGTTTCCATGGGCGCCGTGTGCATACAAGGGGGGCAGTTGCCTTCCTTCTTACAGAACTTAGGTACTAATTAACTAACGACACAACGCCAAACACAGAATTGTCACGTGGTACAAGCAGTTATTTCATTTACTGAATATGTATATTAAAACATTTACTAAATATATTAAAATAAACATGAAAAATATCCATACTCTAAGTATGTAACATGTTTCTAACGTGTGATGTGATAAAAAATATGGTCCAATGGGCTCATTCAGCATTTTTTTTATTTGCTTAACGGAAAGATATTGCAATTTTAAGGTTCTCTGCAAAAACTTAAAATTTTATATCGCCTACAAGTCATCCAAAAAAAAATCATAAACTGGCGCGCTGAGTATCCGCTGAAACGGCGGGTGTGACGTCACCGCATGGGAAACCGATGCCGCATGCTTGCATGGGTTGTCAGTTGTCAGTTAGCCGGGTAGTAGGGTTTTAGTTTCGATTAAGTACGTTAAGATACCGAATTTTGTTAGCAGTTGGAAGACACAGAACAGAAAAAAATTACAAATATTGTATTGTTCCCCAGTGTGAGAGCACTAGTGTGAAGATGCCTAAGAAAATAATAATGTTCCCGTAATTCTGTCGTACGGATCTAAAATCGATAGTCTATTAGTCTCTACTTTGATTTCTCTTTTTTTATATCTTTTATTTGAAAAATGACTTCTTTTGAAAGTAATAAAACTACCCCGCGTAATTTAGGTATGTAATAAATACGTTTGTATCCTCTAGAAACACTATACACTTGTATTATCCATTGTTGATTTTTTGTGAATATGATACAAATATGTACTATTTATATAAAAATACATAATAAAATATTATATTATTAATATATTTGTAAGATTTAGGTAGATTTTATGTAGTTCCCATGGGAATAAAAATAGTAATAAGAATTTTGTATTTAATTAGGTAAATCTTTGAAACCTGTGACAGAAACGGTTTCGTCCAATTAAACGCAAAATCCTTATTCTTATTTATTATTCTTATTGTACAAATACATCAAAACTTTCGTTACAAACGTACTTTACAGAAGCTTTACACGTTATTGAAACGTAAAACAATCTGTAGATGCATCTGGTCTGGAAGTAGGGCTAAGCCGGCTGACCGTCCCATGCGGTGACGTCATTGCATTGCCACGGCTGCTGAGATAAATATTCGCATTTTAAAGATAATATAGTTTGAAAACCGCTTAACGGATCGAGTTGAAATTTTCAGGACCGCCTAATCATGACCAATACTTTGTATATACAAATTAAGAACTTTTTTAAAATTTACTGAATGACCCCATTAACAGTGGCGTCTCTTGACTTCCATATTCGTGAGGGCGGAAAAATTTAGGTACAAGTAATTATAAAATATCACGAATTCAAATATATTGTCTATCATTTAATTATACGTTTAATCTCAGCATGGTGTTCTGAATCCGTCCCTGGATTTTACGCCATGTACGATTTACTCACGGACCATAGATCTAAAACGGAATTATGTATTCTGTTATTTTAAATTGACCCCTCCTAGGATTTCGTGTTCACGGCGCCCGTGCTAGTGTCTAATTATCTTTGCATGAAAATTAAAAGATAAGGAAGGCAATATAAATCGTAACAGTGTAATAATCGAGGTGTTAAGGTGTGTTTTTATTATAAGAAAATTCGTGCGTTTAAAAGGTTGATATCATTAACATTAGCATGCTAAATGAACTAAACGGTGTATCGGTTCGGTAACCTAGATGCCATCGCCGTCTCTAAAAACAGGCCTAAATATTAAAAGAAATTTCTCCTGGGCCGAGACGTCGGTTCCGCGTGGATTTAAAGGTTCAACTCGTTGACTTGACCCAGGCCCTCAGGCTGTCTTGGCTTAAAGGAATTTGCAGTTGTACGATTGACTGCTCGTATCCATTCTTAATTACGGCTGTTTTAAAAACAGTTGTTAAAGTCTTGTTGTCATTTAATCACCGGGTTTGCTTTTAGCTATTTTGCATAGTGTAACTTTACACAGGGGTCTTATTTATACGGAGTATACCTATGACCGTTAGAAACATATTTGTAACAATTTGTTTTCTCAATTTTATTGAAGGTAGGAAATGTCCAACGATTTTTGTATTATACACATTAATATAAAATTGCCAACTTCTTGATTTATTGGGTTAAAAAATGGTTAATGTAAAACAGATTTTGACGAGATGGATATTGTATTGACAAAAATATTTTCAATTGGTTTTTGACATTAGTTATGGGACATTTGTCATTATTTGACAGTTTTAAATATTAGTATCTTATCCAAAAACAATTTCCAACATTTCTAAAAATTTTGGGATGTTTTTCCTTACTCCCATAACATAAGTAGAAGCTATACCATATAAATTTTAGGATACATCATCTATTTATTTTACAAAATTATGTAAACGGAATTTTATCATCATCCTTATCTCCCTTTATGTATTTATTGTTGCTATTTTTAATTTACTGTTAGAGCATATCTGTTACAAGTTTTCTCTTCTGTGAATTTTACTCGTCAAATTGAACCAGTTCCACAAAACAGGAAATAATTGAGAAAGGTATTACTTATTTTAAATAAAGATACGTTAGACTATGTAGAAGTACATAAGTACTTACATTTCGTATTGTTTCAGAAATAGATGAAAAATCCCACCAGAAGGAAAAATGTCTTCCGCGATCTGTCAAAATTTCGTCCAAAATGCGTGGAAGAAGGAACTTTGCTCAAATTGCTTCAAATCCAAGGACGAACACGCCGAAAAACCTAAACCAAAACCTATTCAGCTCGTATCAACCGAAAAGGTAGAGGGTATCATCAGAAACGGCAAGAAACTAAAACCCAAACTCACTGTTCACTTTCTCAAAGAATTAACAGAGGTCATTGGTTATGGGGGAGAGGACTGGTGTTCCGAGAACGGAGATGAAGAAGAGGACAGCGACAGCAGCGAGGACGAGGCCGTTGTGGAATCCGATGAAGATGAATCTACGAAAGAATTGAAAAGGATAACAAAAGAAAACACCGATTTTAACACGACATCTTTAGGGGAAGTCAAGGAAGTGAAAAAAACGTATCCTCAACTGTTGTTGGGTAAACCAGTAGTGGACGCTTCAGGTAAAAAACAAACGTTGCTAGTTTCTGTAACACCATTTGGTGAGGACAGTAGCACTCCCGTAAGAAAATTTAACACAGCTAAAAGTCTGTCCCATATCCCGATAGCAAAAAACAACAAAGACATTATAGCGGAGAATAAAACGAGCAATGTGGTACTCACTTCTTACTCAAAAAATGAAGAGGAAAAATTTGGGAAAGAGGAAAAGTCACTTTTAGACGAAATATCTGAAACGTTAGAGAAAAGTAAGAACCCTATTCAGATTATGGCAAAGAAGAAGATACAGAAAGACATAATTTTAACCGTTAGCGATTCGAATAAGGAAAATATCTCACAAGAGGTGATTAAGGAGAAGGACGTGAAGAAAATAGAAACAAAAGATGAAGAAGTTGTGCTGGAAACGAAAGCTATAGTCACGGAGAAGAAAATAAGTTTATCTCGCACCCCTGCTCTAAAAAGAGACGTGGAAAAACCGGTAGTGTATCAAACCGCCACTGCTAAAATAGAGATATTGAATACAAAAAACTTAAAACTGAACAAGGAAACGGTGAACAAGGCAAAAACGGAGGTTAATAATAACGAGAAAACAGAACTATTTGAAAACAAAAACGAGAAAAAAGAAGTGACCAACAACATCATATCAACAACAAACCTCATAAAGGCTGAAATACTTAACTCTAGATCTGAAATTAGCGAATCCAAGGAGAAAAAAGATGAGATTAACACGAATGTGGCAGAAAAAAGTTCTGTAGAAGAAAAAGCGAAAGTTACGAACTCCCCACCAGTTTCGAAATACAACATGCCGTTTTCCCAAAGCAGGGAACAAGCGGGAAAACCCGACGGAAGGGAAGATCCGGTAGCAACGGAGTTACCACCTTTACCCATAACACCTCCACCCACCCTAGAGACTCAGACTTCTTTTTTACACAGTCCTGCTCCACCTATCTATGAAAAACCGAAGGTACCCTCGAAACCTGCGACAGTATTAATAAGGAAACCGCCAAATCCTCACTTGATACCCTCCCAGCCCATGTCTACTTTCAACAACGACAAACCGTGCGACAAACTACCCCTTTCTAAGCAGGACTCCACCGATTCAGACTCAAAATCAAACAAGAGAAGAGCTCCGAAACCGCCAGAAGAAAGTATAACGCCTCCTGTTTATACTAGGAACTCCACAGGACTCGTTAATATAGATTCTCCCGTTGTGCGGGAGAAGGAAAAAAGGGAAAGGGCTTCTTCTTGTACGCCTAAGATGCTTGGTGTGAGCGACGTTTTGGACGAAAACGATTATAGTGCTCCTGAACCAGCACCTAGAAAATCTCTGTCGATTTCCACAGACAGCTTAACTGCGGGTACTGTCGAAGAGAAACGGAAAGAAAAGCATAAAGGCAGGTTTTCTTTAAAGAAATTTCTGCGGATGGGATCCAGTAAAGATTTGCCCAAGGTAGCTATTGACAATACAGTGTTGAAAGTGGAAGAATCTATTGAGGCGGCTCCACAACCAAAACCCAGACTGGTCATAGTACATCCCAGCGAATTAAATGGCGCTAAGGTGGAAGTATTAGCAAAACCCATTCTCGACCAAATGGATTTTCATTCACAGAAACACGAATATAGTTTTGTGAACGGTGATTACGAACCTTGCAGTCCTAAAGCTACAAAACCACCGCCACCTCCTAGGAACTTTAGCGAAATCAGTAGTACTACGAAACCCAACCTACCACACCCTCCAAAATCCATAGAAATACTCAATAAGCAAAGGCAGATCTCCAGGAACGGCTCCAACACGAAGAAAGCGGAAACAGTGTACGCCAACATAGGAGAGGTGCGTTCAGCCATAGTGCCCAACAAGCCCGTCAGGACGGCTAGCATGAGGGAGAGGGAAGCACAGCAGCAGAAGCAGCTGAGGCGCAACATGCATAACTACGAACCGATAAATATACGCGGGAAAGACGCTTCTGAAAACGTCTACGATTACATCAACTCGACGCGCTCGAGTTCGCCGGACAGCGATTCTAGTCGTGACAAGAATAGTCCCAAAAACAAGACTGTTAGGTTAGGGAAGAGGTCGGAAAGCAGTATCGACGTGTCAGGGGAGTACTTCAAGTACAGTAACATACCCAGAAGCATGTCTTTGACTTACTGCGGTAGCGAGACGGAATCCGAGATTTATTCGCCGTACAGCTTCTACGGCAGCGAATCAGAGGTAAGATTTTTTTCATTTGCGGACCCTCTAAATTGTTATTTTATTGTCGCCAAAGAGGCACATCCTAGGTAAGGCCACCAAAGTGTAATTATCGTGTGATTTCAAAGTAGAATCTAAAAATAAACAATTGGTGTTTCCACCTTTTTAAGTAAAGTAAATAAAGTCGATTATCCGTACCTCAATGATCCGAATCTGTCTATTATCCGGATCTCTCTATTTCCATGAGCATAAATTTATTCACATAAATAAATACGCGTACATAAACCGATTAGTTCTAACTAAATGAATGATGATGGGTAAATTACAATATCGTCCGTGTTTACGATAAGCCTACACATTTTGTAATCCACCGAGTCATTTTCAAAAGACTACGCGCATGGACAATTGCAAAATCGGAAATCATTATCGCCCATCACAAAAGTCACGTGTGAATGTGTTCAGACATAGATTGATAAATCTATCGATTTTGTAATCGTTCATGCGGATTATCCAATACAAAATTATAAATATTCTATGAATATTTGCAATACATTTTAAAAATAAACGATTCAGACAATACAAAAAAAAGAATTTCCAATACAAGAGAATTCATTTTGAAATTATCGTATTGGTTCTAGTCCAAAAAAATTATACGTAGCCGCAATTTTAATTCTTTAAATTTACTAAATAATATGCTGAAGATAATATGTAAAATAATAAGAGCTTGCTTCTTACAAATATAAAATACAGTTGCAGGCATTAATGTCAATTTTAAGGAGCTTGACGTAAAAATACTTAACATTTTGAAGTAAAATATAACTATAACAATTATTAGAGAGATTTAGGATCTCGTTAACATCGTTAGTTCTTCATACTAATAAGTTTAGTATTTTTAAATTATATGTTTATTATCTATTTTTACGCTTTCCTGCACAAGTAAAAAAGTCTTATTACGGCCCTGATCTTCTCCATCCAAGGACACCGAAAACGTCTTAATGAAATCAAAGTGCCGACAGCGCAGTGAAACTTACTGCTTCTAACTGCATTTATACACATATGATGTGGTTCTAACTACACCATTAAGGACTCGGAAGCGCCTAGTCTACTAGAATGTAAATCATTTAACTTAAGTATATGTTATAATGTACATTCATTTTTTCATGTTTTAGAATGTTGTAGTACATAGGTCAGTGAATATTTATTTTAAATTGCATTTTTATAGCACTCTATTATCCGGATATTCGATGTTCCTGATTGCCGTCAGTCTCATCTAGTCCGGATATTCGAGTTTATATTGTATGTACAGGGTGATTCACTATATTTTGACCCCCATTAACTTTTTTGTTTTTAGAGTTATAAAAAAATGTGAAATACAAAAGTTGTATGATTTTTTATGAATTTTTCGAAAATGATAGTAGAAAAACAAATGAAGTCTAAACAAAACGGCCGCGGATGTTAACTTTGTTAATTTAAATGGATCACCCTGTATATTTTTTCATATTTGGATAGAACATTCCCTGTCGAGCATAGTCATATAGGGTTTGTTGGGCCCATCTCTAACAATAAGCGAGATGATACTATTAAAAAACAAAAATAAGACATCTTGTAATTTTATTAGACCTTTTTCAGGCATTTTTGCCTTTTTTCCAATTCCAAAGTTATCATTGTTAGTCTTTTTGACATAGTAATCAAACTAATAACATTTATTTTATTTATTTATTGGACTTACAACTTCAGTTCTGATTTGATTTGATAATAAAATAAAAGAAAATAGAAAAATTTGTAATTGCACCCTCTTGCATGACAATTATTGGAAATGGTTATTCCTTTCCTTTCCTAAAAAAACAAAATGAATCGCATTTATTTCGGATTTTCCTCATCCTGCAATCTGTAAAGAATAGTTTGTCATCCAATTAATCTAATTTAATGCTCTTCAAATATGGATAATCACAGAGGTTCAAATTTGAGAGTCACAAATATTTAACAATCATTCTCACGATATCTAATTAAAAGTTCATCAAATTTTTTGTCAATAAATCAGATTAGTGTTAAAAATGATGATGACTATAAAATAATTAATTACGCGAAAACTGTGATGAGTACAAAAAAGTTACAAGTGAGAAAAAACTTTGTCTTTATGGTAAAATTAGTACTGAAATTGTAAAGCCCATAACAAAATAATATATCATATATTTGCTTAGGACTGGAAGTACTTTGGCCATTTCTATAAATGCAATTACTTTGGTTACTATGTCAAAAAGTAACATTTATACACAAGTATTAGCATACCAAGTTTCATTTAAATCGAATAGTGTCTTAACCAAAATATTTGTCAATTTTTTCATGGCCACCCGATATACATAGCATTAAATTTTTGTAATTACTACAAAACAAAAATTAACCACAGCCAATCAGTGATAATTATGTAGCAATCGATCATTCCTCGTCTGAAGTCTCTTTTCGACCAATAACACCTCATTTAACAAGGGTGGTATTTTGTAAAAGATTATTTTAGCACATCTTTTTTCATTTTATAAGACTTAAATAATTATTGTGGAAATATTCGCTATTTATATTTGACAGAAACTACCCATTTTTGAGCTAATTGCTCTGAATATTAATTGCCCTATCAAAAAAAACAGGCACCCAATACGAGATAATAAGACTGCTTGTGCATAGGTGACCGAAGACGATCATGACTGGATTCAGAATGGTAGAACTCACAAACTAAGATCTCGGAAAGGGAGAAGTATTGTTCACAAAAATCTCGAAGACAACTATGGCGCTGTGATAGTAGCCAATCACGAGGCGCTAGCCCAAGTTCTTGAAAATGTAAGTGAAAAGAAAAGATGCATGTACTAACGAACAAAATATTGGGTCTCATGAATAAAAGATAGCAAATGCTTTTACTACATATTTTCGAAGTAAAACCTTCATTAACTGTGATTAATATTTTGGAGTATTGCTGCACACAAAAGTAAAAGCTTTTGCTTTCATAAAAAGAAAAAAATCAGCAAATATGAATAAAACTAGTTATGTGAATAAAACCGAGTATTTATTACCTGCCTTAGCATTTGCTTCGATAACATTGTAGGTACCTCAGTAACAGACTTCAGTAGCATATCTAAACGTAAGGAGTATGGAATTATTGATTCTTATCAGAACCAAAAAATTGATTAAAAAAAAAGATTAGAGACAGTCATAATACCTTTGTGTTTGATTTAAGGAAATGTGCATTGGTTAGCTAAGCATTTCATGTATGAACAACATGAAAACACGAAGAAGTGCATTAATAGTTGTGTGAAACGTAAAAAAATGTCCTGAAGCATATATTAATAATTGGCTATTAAAATAGTTTAGCAGTCATTAGAATTAAACAAAACCCAGTATCAAAACCCCCTGCCAAAGTGGAGAATATAAAAGAGAGTATTTGTGGATTAAATTTCTTTTGTCCAGTAAAGAAATTACAGAAGTACGACAACTCTGGTAGGAGTGATACAATTTTGCTATCTGCATCCTGAAACCTTCACAATATGGCAATACAGGGTGACTGGAAACTACTAACAAACAAATTTAAGTGTTGATTCTGCTAGGAAAAAAAGTAAATAATATTAATGATCATACTTCATATATGGCACTTTTTCGAACTCTACTATGAATGGAATTAAATAGCATCAAAGCAAATTTTTTAAATTGATTTTTATTTATTTATTTTTTAATTTGGTGCACTTATTTAATAAAAAACTGCACCTTTGAGAAAAAAAAATCATTACAATTATAAAGCCCTAAATAGAATAGAATTGTATAGAAAATCAATCATAACTTTTTTTATTTGGGTTTTTCAAAAAAATAAGTACAGAAATGTTGAAGATTGAGAAGATAAAAAACCTTCAAAATCCTGTTCCAGGGAATACCGTATTGTTTTGTAAAAAAAAATATGGTTAAAATTTACCCATTTTGCAGTATAAACAAGGAAGTTTAATATAAAATAACAATTATACAATTATGGGCATTAAAATTTGCCAATTTATCATTAATTGATCAATTAATTTATAAAATTTGGGAAATTAATTATAAATAATTTACAAAATTTGACTACAGTCATAAAATACTGTATCAAAGCATTCAATGAGTTCTTTCTCCAAAAAATGTTACGACTTGACTTTAATTGCGTTATTTAATTTTTTAAAAGCCTCGATAAAAGTTATGATTAAAATTTATTGTTCATTCTCTTTAGGTGCAGCTATCAATAATACTTAATTGCATATACGAAATTTAAAAAAATGAATAAATTGAAAAAAGTTGACCCATTAATAACGAGTTTTTGAAAAGTGAAGTGAAAGGAATGTATAACCATTATCCTTGTTATACTCGTAGTTAGACAACCAGTGAAACAAAGAAAATAGGAAGTGGTGACTTTCCCATAAAATCTGTATCATCTGTGTTGATAGTAGATAAAAATAATTATGACAGGGGTTTGATAAGAGTTGCCATCTAATATTTTCGTTCCTATATTTAACTGGTTATCTACCTAACTATATTATATATAAATACGGCCATTATTTTTATGAGTTAACCCCTTAAATATTCTGCTGATAGTTTCTGAACACCCTGTAGACTATATTCAATTGGGAGCAATACACTCTAAACTGAACACAGGTAGGTATAGAGCATTGGATTTGCATTTACTATATAGCCAAACATTCATTTAAAATGAAGCAAATGCTTTTGCTACAGTCTTTTACGTTAAAACATTTGCTTTTGCTTTCACTTTATTTAAGCAAACGCTTCTACTTTATTCATGAGACACATCAATTTCAGTGAAATTCTTAGTTCAGAAAAAACACCTTGTTGATTTTCTTACATTTGCTATTTTTGCATAAACATTTTTATGTATAACAATAACTCTTGCAGATTCTACAACAATCAAATCACATTCAGCCTGCTTTGAGGGGTCTGAAAACATCCTCGAATCTACGATGGACCGATTTTTCAATAAAATCAGGAATTACACCTTCAAAAGTGGGTCGTAGGGTCTTCCATCAAGCACTATGGGGTGCACAACACGTAACACTAGTTGTGAACGCCGGCACGGTCACTTCAAGCACTCTTTCACTGGGTACTTTCAATTTAACTCCGGTAACCGAATTCAGCGATTTGGTACCCCAAAATTACCTGACGGATTCAGATGTCGGCAAGGATAGCAACAAACAAATACAAGGTTAATGATTTGGTGCTTAAATTTTATTTTAACTTGTTCCGCCTAGCAGTCAGTTATGTCGCAACTGAAATCACTTGTATTGGAATATTTATGCTGCTATCGAAACCTAAAAATAATGTAATTTCAATTTTCAGCTACAGTGGGCGTGCTGCCTTGGTTACAGGTGAACACGATCGAATCCTTCAGTGAGGTGCTGAAAACCAAGGCACAGAACCACGAGGACATGTGGAAGGACGCTAATTTTGTCATGCTGCAACTGGTCAACGCACTGAAAACACTACAGGCGCAAGGTATAGAAGAATTACCTTTATCCTTGAATTGTTTTGTGCTCTGTAAGGACGTGGACAGAGATACCCACCATCGACTTTGTGTTCTACAAGGGTAAGTAAAAAAGAACAAATCAATGTTCTAGTTCGTTATTGTTAAGTTGACTTAATATTTGCAACTGTTTATAAGCACCAAAGAAATTTGGAACCATTTCATTTCTTTGTATAGGAAGCATAAACAAATTATAAGTTAGTAGCATCTCACATACAGAGAAATAATAATAAACTTGTTTCTTATTAGTTAAAGTCTGCCATTTGTTATAAGTCCTTACAAACATTTAACAAGTATTTTGTGATCTTTTGAGTGTTTTATACAAAAAAAATACAAAACATCTAATTTCAAACTATTGCATCAAATGACGTAGTTTGTGGAAGTTAACGTATTGGAAATATCTTTTAAGATTCAATTCTATGATTTCAAAAGATGAACAATTCCATCTTACGATTCGTGACTAGAGGGAGATATTGCATCCACATTTCAATACAATTGAATCTAATGTATAGGAGATACACATTTAAGCGACTAAATATTATTATTGGCCATTGTTGGCACTGCTAACTTAGCAACATAAGAAAATATGACAGAATTGGCGATGTCATTGCAATGAATGTTCATAATTTTGTTTGAGCTTCCAGTAAAACATCATTGTCCCCACTATAATATTGTATTATATGTTGTATAAAATTTAATTTCACTTGTTGAGATGGCTCCTTGTATGATAATGGACATTTATAATGAAAACAATCAGTTTCCATTAATCAGTATCCATTAGAGTTCAACATATTTCATCTAGCCGGCGAAAATCGAGTGCAAGGTGACAAAGTATACGAGTGGGTCCTGAAGTTCATTTTGTTGAGTGCACCTATAGAGTAAACGCTGTACGTTCATGCAAGAAATAAAAAAGCCCACATAAAAAATTTTAAACATACAAAGCGAAAAGTAATAAAAAAAATAATGAATACATTTTTATAGTGTGTAAGAAGTTTGACTGCCATTACTTCAGCGGCAGACTTGTCCTACGGAAAAAATGTAAACAACTATTATTGTGCAAAATTTAGTAAATTTCAAGACAATTGTTTTCTAGTTTTTAAATAAATAAAATAGAATGTATCGATTTTGTAGTACGAAGATAGTGTTGTACTTAAATTTTATCTAGAATTTTAGTGATTATGAATCTCTTAAGATAGGAACTTAACTTTTAATCAAATTATAAATTTGAAAAATATTTAATTAAAGTACCCAAAGATTCATGTCATCCAAATAATCATACGAATTAAAAATAATTTAGGTACTTACCAAAAAGCAAATTTCAGTAATTTTTAAATGCACAAGTACAAAACAAACTACAATATATGCTCAAAATGTCCACCACCATTTTCGATGCACGCACGACACCTTCGAATCCAATTTTCGCGCACTCGCTGGAAATCGCCGCAAGAAAAGCAAATAGTGGTATGCAAAAAATACTCCGTCAGGGTCCAATTCCAGATACCAACAAAATGGCATATTGCTGGACAACTTAGTACCTCGTGTTATCCGCCGTGCCGTTGTCACATTGCTCGATATGAATTTTATCGAATTTTAAATTTATTACGCTAATTATTTTTTAGAATTAAGCATAAATAAGTTCAAAAAAGTGATAAACATTGTATTTTATGGTATTCTATGCACGCAGTTGTCAATATTCCTTAATTAATCGAACTTTTGTGCATCAAGTTGGAGATTTTAATAATTTTTTTCTCGGAAGCAGTTCAGTTTAGGACCCATGTCATATAAGGCTTTTTTTGTTTATTTTAAAGTATTCTATTGCCTTTTAAAATTAAGGCAGTCAAACTTCTAACACCCTGTATAAGTAATTGTATTTTAATGCATTTACAGGTAACAGATAATTAATTTATTAAAGGTTTTACGCACAAAAAAACAAGACACTTTTTAATAAACACACTACAGTCATCCAGCTATGTAGTGCTTTTAAGTATAACTTGAAACAGTTTTTTTCCCAAAATCTGTAAATATTTAAATATTTTTTTTTGCCAAACAAGTTCTTAGAACATTTATTAGTTATTAAATGTTTATGGAGTAATATTTTTTTTAATTTGAGTATCTATGCTACTCCATTGTTTAAAAATGTGCTCAATCTTTGTTATCGTTTTCAGATTGGGCCCAGACATGGCAAACAAAACCGACGAGGAGTACGGAACCCTCTGCATGTGCGCTCTTAAGGCGCTAAACCTCCTACACCCTTCACCTAAAATAACCCCCCTGATCCACTCTCTCCTGAATAAGGAACGTGCCGTTTCGCTGACTCAAGTCAAAAGCGTCCTGGAGTTCTCCCTTTGGGGACCCTCTGACGTATGTCTCGGCAGCACAATACGAGAACGAGAACTGGCATTGCAGAGATGGCTGGACCTGCAGCGGGCAACGGTTCTGCACGGGTTGGTGTGCGCCAGAGTGCAACTTACCGTTTACGAAGAGTGTCATCTGTTGTTCTTGGTACGAAGCAACGCTAGGATGATGTGCGACGCCTCGCTACTCATAGAGTCCAGTAATATGAAGCACTGCTTCACGAGCAACCATAAGTAGTTACGTGTGCGGGCATGTCGTAATTACTGTGTATTTGATGTGGGATGTTTTGTTTAACAATTGGTCGCCCTGGAACTTTTTTATTTATGCACTGATTTTAATAGTTAGATAGCTTTAGTGGCGACACATTGAGGATATGTGTCACATTCACATTAAAATTCAGTCATTTCAAACTTTTCTTTTTTTTTTTTTTTGGTGCAAAAATGGGAAACAATTTCTGGATGTTATTTGAGCAATACTTTCATTATTGGTTGTAAAAAATAATTTTTTGGACCCACTCAAATGGCAAATTTAACTTATTAACTAAAAATCATTTTTTATCAACTTTAATGTAAAATGCAGTTTTAAGAATTCATTTTAGGACGAAGGGTGACACGTATCATTATTTCACGTCCACGTTAGTTTACAGGCTAAATTACTTCACATCTGCTGTAATAAATTAGCAGTTGTGAAATAAAAACAAATGTGAAGTGATCGAGTCCGTGAAGTATTTGCGGAAGTGAAATAGTATGACAGGAAAGTCGAATTATCAAGTTCGATGGAAAAATTTAATATACCTCAGCAAAAACGTACGCTTTTATAGCGTCGCCTTTGGCTAACGCCTCAGCCAACAGAAGTAGTGTTATCAAGAAATATGCAACATTCTGGTGTCCATACATAAATAACTGTTTAGGAACTCATTTTCATACGAATAGTGTCACTATTTAGGTGTTATTTATTGTACATCCACAAATTCTTTGCGGTTCAATTACTTCACGTCCACTATAATAGGGTGGAATGAATTATCAATTGTGAAATAATAGTGGACATGAAGTAATTGAGCCTGAGCGTAAAATAATAGGACACTAAACTGAGTAACGGAACGAAACCAAATTATTATTTAACAAAATAAATGTTCGTAAAAATCAGTCAATAAATAGAAAAGTTAGTGGGGTGGTTAGTTTTTAAACAAGACGTCCAGTATAAGTATTATATATGTAATTTGTACTTTAAAAGGTTGTTGTAAAACTGAACTGATATTGAGTGGTTTTATGATTGTAACCATTAGTTGTTACTTAAAAAGAGCGTCTAGCATTTTGTACTTGTGGTGCAGCTGAAGGTTTATGTAATTAATGTCTTTTTGCACAATTTATTGCATAGTATTTTTTCATATTGTAAAAAATTATGTAAATATTTCATACCTTTACTGCCAATTAATGTTTTTATAATAAAGTTTAACGTTTGTATATATAAATATATTTATTGGTTTTTTTGAATTTTTTACACAGAACATTAATTTGAATGATTGTGAAAATTGTTTATAAAATCTCTATTTGTAAATAAATAAATAAATAATTAAACAAACAACAGTGTCTTAGTAGTAAGTACAATAATTTTATAACAGCTCATAAACAAAATTACAACAAGGGTGTAAATTATTGCTTAATAATAAATGTTTAAAAAACATTCAAAAAACAATTATATCAAAATATTGCTAAAAATTTTATAAATAATAAAAATACTTCAGATGGTTTAGAAAGAAGTTGGAATTTTGGGACTTACTCTACGCTAATGTCCTTTAAACTTACGTATAGTTTCCGTGAAAGTCATACCTGTTAAGCCTACAGTTTACTAAGTAATTATTGTCGTGCTGACTTACAGCCCTTTGTTGAAGTACACCCTCTCTGGGACTTTGCCCTCGCAGTTCGCCTTAATCTTCTCAAACTGCTCTGGTTCTAGCCATTCTAAAGTGGAAGTCTTTATTGAACTGAAAAAAAAGAAATAACGGATGTGGTTCAATTTCTTGATACATTCAGTAATTTTTGCAATAAAAAAAAAGAAATCTAGTTAATATTGAATGAACTTACCATCTTTGGGGGAATAACGCACAAGCAGTTGGTACCATAAATGTAAGGCTGAAAAAAAAAGGTAAGCTGTTACTGTGTTCTAAAATTAGTATTATGTGAGTCAGGATCGAAATGCATATACAGGGTTTGTTTGTCCGGAAAGTAATGTCAGTGAGTCGGTTAAAAATAAGTTATTGAACTTTTCATTACAAGTGATCAGAATTCTTCAAAATAGGCTCCTCCTGCGTTGATACATTGGCTCCAATGAATTTTCAAGTGGAATGCAATTTAAAGCCGTAGTGCAAGCTGCTTGAATCCCCTGTATTGTTTCGAAATGCTTGCCTTTCATAGGTGTTTTCAGGTGTGGAAACAAAAAGAAGTCGGGGAGAGCCATGTCCGGGCTGTACAGGGGCTGGGGAATCGTTGGCACCCCTGCTTTGGCCAGGTAGTTGGTAACGAGGAAGGAGCTGTGAGCCAGCGCGCCGTCATGGTGCAACTTCCAGTCGTTAGCGATGTCCAGCCGGACGAGTTGAACCCTGCGTTTCAATCTTTTCAGCACTTCCACGTAAAAGTTTGCATTCACAGTTGTACCACGTGGTACAAACTCGTGATGAACGAGTCCTCGGATGTCAAAAAACACGAAGCATCGTCTTGATTTTGGATTTACTTATCCTGGCCTTCTTGAGGTGAGGGGATGCCGACGTGTGCCACTCCGATGATTGTCTTTTCATTTCCAGGTCATACTCGAATATCCAAGATTAGTCACCTGTAATGATTTTGTTCAAAAACTGAGGATCACTTTCGCACATGTTTAGATTTCAACGCAGTTCATCTTTTGGTCGTCTGTGAGCACTTTCGGGACCATTTTCGGGCATATCTTCCGCATGTTCAAGTTGTTCATAATGATCCCATGAACAATAGTTTTTGGAATGTCTATTATCAGTGTCACATTGTCATCCGTAGTGCTCGTTGATGGCCGTCCGGCCCGGACCTTGTCATCGACCGTTTGCCAGCCTATGGGGTCGTCCATTAATCACATGAGGTTTTTAGACCACCTTTTTACACCCTTCCTCCCCCTCCTGGGTTGTAAGCTCCCCCCCCCCCCCATCTAACATCACATGTATTTTTTTATTAAAAAAAACTTCAATATTTTCAGAATATTAAAGAAACAGCGGGCAGGGCGATGGACGATCTTAAAAAGATCGACCGCGTCAATTACGCGTTATGTCTTGATAAAATTTTGGAGTAGTGTATTGTAAATCAGTATCTATGATTTGAAGTTAAAACTGAAAAAAAATATTTTTTTTGGCACCTTATATCTCAAAAACGGTGAGTTTGCGGATCCATGTTAATACAACTTTTTTTCTTAGAATGAGCCAAAAAATCACACCTTTCATTTTCCGACATATGTTTTGAAACACCCTGTATATTTAAATCGTTCTTTTTCTTCTTTAATATATGTCTTAAGAGTTCTACCTTTATATTCTACAAGTGTAAACATTCTTCAAATTTTTCTTTTACTTTTATGGTTAATGGAATCTAAGTACAACGTTGACCTACAAGAATAAGTACTAACCCTACCAAGTTCTACCGACATCTCAGCCACACCAAAAGTTATTAATTTCTACTTACAAACAGCCGACGGCCATAACCTGGATTGGTCCGTGAAGGTAAGTTATCCTCTGCATGAACCTGTACTTTTCCGCTCTCTCCATTATTATTGGCAGTATCAGCATTCCAGGGGCGCACATCGTTATACGTGAAATGATGACCTGAGTTATACCCTTAACGGCAGCTAGTTTCGACTGACCAACAATTTTTCCACTTTCATCGGTACAGTCGATGCCATGGAGGATTTCGTTCTGACGCATCATGGGGATGTTGACACAATTAGCAGCTGCCACGGCAGCAAATGGTACGTATCTCTAAGAAGACACATAAAACTAGATAAAAATAGAATTTCGTGTGAAAAAAATAGGAATCTTCTATTAAATTTTGAGATATATGAACTTACATAAACTAAAATGTCTTACCTGGACAAACGGGCTGGCCCTTTTTGTCCAGTAGTATTTGCAACCCAAAGCTGTAATCATGGCTGACGAGGTAGCAGATAGATAAGCAACGACAAGTTGGTTGGTAGTAGTAGGAGATTTAGCATTTCGATTAGTGTAATTGACTAATGCGTTAAAAGACTGATTAACCCACTGCCAGAACACTACAGCAAATGGTGTCCTATAAAATTTAAAACGTAACAGTATCAATTTGTGGAATGGATAATAGTTTGCAGATTCATTTACCTGTACCACTGAAGCATAGCCCCTGTAATTGCCATACCGCCTGGTACCTGGAAAGACATTCTGCCGAAAACATTTTGTTTTTCTCCACTATCAGGGTGGAAAGCACTCTCATACAACTTTTTAGCGTAAATAATTTGCTCTAGAGTTGTGCCTGGAGGTTCCTGTCCTTTCCTGTATTGGTTTACTAAACTTTTTGCATTATCCAGATCATCTTCGTTTACCAGACAGGTCCTAGGATCGGTTACCCATAAAAAATGCTTAAATCTTCCTACAAATGTGCTCTGATCCCACAGTGGTTCGTCGATATTCATTCTTTCGGGCATAATTAAAATGAACTACAATGTAAAATGACTTGGAATCGTATTAAAATAATAAACCCATTAATATTGTATAACTGGTTTCTCTAAGCAAAGTTCAAAGATAATATAATTTTTATTCTATTTTTGTATAAGATAATCCATTAAAAAATAAACTCACCAACAGAGGTCGAGTTCGAACTTAAATAGTTGTAAAAATTAAATTTTATGTGCAATGTTCCCACCTCCGCGCCACTCTTCTTTGACTACCCCTGTCGTTGTAAATAATTTTTTTTTCTATTAGCTGCTTTCTTTCGGTTGCCGTTTTCGGATCTAAACGAGTTATGATCCCTAAATCACGTTCGTAGTTGTTTTCTTGTTTCCGGATCTTGTCAGATTATGATATGATCAGGATCGGTAATCCCCTTTCCCCTACGAATCAAACTTTTTCTGTGATTCGAACTTTTGATCACGATCACATATTTAATATAATCTTAAAATTGTTTCATTTTTATATAAAATGGCAGTTACAATTTTTATTTTAATTGTGTACACAAAAATAGGTTTACCTAAACGATATTTAAAATCAAATCAAATGTCAACAGTAAACAAAATCTTGTTCTCTTCGAAATTGGATTCATGGATCTAGTTCGTGTTTGTCTGATCCTGATTCAGTGATCATGATTCAAAGCTGAGAGCGAAAGAAAACGGCTATAATTTCCACTTTGCGGATTGACCTGCTTTCGCTTTGAGATAATTAGCACAGAACTACAGTACTTAAGAGCTTTAAACTTCTATGAAAATATTACAGTGTCCGTAGTTTGACCAAACCATTGCGTCTTTTATTAGTTCAGTTCTGTTATTGTAAAGTAAATGTAATCCAAATAATTAAAATGCTCTACATATTAATTATTTTAATTTACTTTTACTGAAAATGATCTCCCTAAAACTTGAAACGTGAAGTTTTAGGGCGTGAAAATCAAGAAATGTTCAGCAAGAGAATTGAACGCGGTTGATCGTGAAGTTTGTAAAGAGGGTCTACCAATGTTAATAAATAAATTATGAAAATCAAAATTTACTCTTTAATTGTCAACTTGTATACGTTAAATTTATAAAGATAACCCTAGGAAGAAATGTAATTTTTTATTTATTTTTGTACGCTAAATGAAAAGTGTTTAATGTGTTGTGTGAAATACTGATTATATAAAAAGGTTTCTAAAAATATAGCTTATAAACTGTAACAGGGGTCAGATATTTTTTTGTTCTACTCTACAATTACAAATATGGCGGAGCAAGATAGCAGTAAAGATATAAAGTTATTAAAAAGGACAAGAATTTCAGTTTTTGTCGACGAAGCCCTACCAGACATACTAGTAGTTACATTCGAATTTGGTGTTAAAATATTTAAAGGGGTTTTACTTGATTCTACCAAAAGGTGAGCTTTAAATCCATGTGCCCTTTATGTGGGATTAGTTTACAATTGACCTTGAGAAAAGCTATTAAATTTGGATATATTTGATTTTCTTTTAAATGTATTAGTTTATTTCATTGTAAAGAGCACTCTCCAAATCTAAAATTATATTTGAAACCCTTAATTCTAACCGAAACTAATTTTAAAGTGCATAAATATAACTAGATAATTATAGTCATTCCCATACTCCTAGTCCATTTTAGAAACTGTTCTTATCATTGATTATTGTATCCACACATATATTCAATTAAAAATGGAATAAAACAATTGATTTACTTTATTCTTGTAAATGGTAGTGGTACAAGTAGTTCACACATTTTTTAAATTCATTTTAAGTGTAAAAAATTCAAACTACGTAATTCATTTATATGTATACCAAAGGCACACTTATCATGAATGAAATATATATAGAGGGCGTCATATCAGAAGAGCATACGAACCAAATCTGAAATTTTACAGGAAATGAAAAAAGCATTTGAGAAATCAAGATTTAGAATGAAGTTGTTGATTTTGCCGATATAATAAGACCAATACATTATAGTTCATTGGAGAGAATTAACATCTAGTAAAATGTCAACATGTAATTAATTTCGGGCTCATGCGCCCTCCTGATATTATAATGTTTGAGGAACGAGTATTAAATTTATTTAAATAATAGGTGTATAGTATACAAAAATATGCTTTATTAATACAGTAATTGTATTAATACCAACTAAAATTTGTTACATTTTATTTCGGTGCCTTTTCCTCTTTTTAAGTCGTTCTCGTACCTGTAGAGACGTCTCGTCATCGAATTCTTCATCTTCGGAATTTTGGGAACTATTTATTACTGACACAGAAACATAAAAATATTTATATTCTGGAGGAATGACTGCATCTTTGCCTTGGCACATAGACAATAAATTGTTATACTTTAATTTATTTATAGGAAGTTTTTCAGAATATAGAGATGTTGTAACTGGGAGTTTAGGACACTTACAAAACGCCAAAAACAACACAATTTTTATTTACGAACATTCACAAGTTTATCCAAATGTAAGGTTGTGTGAAATTTACGAAATCAGCTGAGGGCGTATAAACCAATACTGTCTAGTAGACGTAAAAGAGATACAGAAGTATTAGAAGGGCATATGAGCATATGCCTTTCTGATATTATAGTTTTGCAAAATTAGTTCATACGCTTAAGTAAAATGCGTTAGAATAGAGTGTTAATGTTTATGAATATATATACGCCCTTCTAATATATTAAGCGAATTGATTAAATGAGGTCATACGCCCTAAAAACCCAAAACCGACTATACTAGTTCTTACGCCCTTATGATATGACGCCCTCGATATGTTTCCATTTGTTACATATTATTTCTACATTGCTGTTGGTTTATAAGAATCAATATTACATTAATGAAAAATTACAAGTCAATACACATTAAATAATCTATAGAGAATGTCTAAGTCCTTACAGAAAGTATGTATGGCATAGATACTTCGAATTAAATGCCTAATTTGATATTGACGACCTCTTTTTCCAAATTATAGGTTTATTTCTTAGTAATGTTGCTAAGATAAACCTTTTATTAAATTTTCAGTTTTCGGTAAATACAAGGTGCAGCAGAGAATAAGGTTTTTTCCTGAAATTTAAAACACTCAGTATGTAACCAGTTAAAATAGTGAATATCTATTAGAATTATGCTGTAGTCACATCTTTTCTGATTTATTTGTCTTTTGATTTACATCGTTATCTCTGTTATTAATTGAAATATCCAGTTAAATTAAAGCTGACCAATTACCTGTAAAAACTATCAACCCTTAACTTCCTCCCTTGAGGACGCTCAAAACATGCTCAGAGAAATATGAAATGAGATTGACCAAGAAAATAATTTCTGATACCAAGGAAGTTCTTTAATTTTGTACTGGATTTTCCTAATTTTTTATTATAATTTTAGCAAAAAATGCCCAAATATATTTTTTGCTATGAATAACAAATATGAAATGGGAATTATTAGCCAAATAGCATCCTCTTATTTTCATAGAATTTCAACTTCCGCTTCGAAATAGTCATTAAAGATTCATCGAGAAAATCGCAGTTTTTTAATTATTTTTTATTTTATGTTAAATTACAGTGCACTTATTTTTAAGTTTTTAATCTCCCAGTATGTCTGTGTTGCCCTTTGAAGTTCAAACAAAAATTAATATAAGTTTTTGTTTTCTAAAATAATAAATAATGTTTCTTATTTGGTACAACTTTGTTAAATATTTACATGAAAAATACTAACAAAAAAATTGGGAAATGGTTGTTATTGAAAACTGGAAACTGATATAGAGATTATGTTTGCAACCTGAAAAACTGTTTAAACATGCCTGAAAAAGCTGAATGTATCAAGGAATTATTTGGTCAAAATTTAGTATACACCTTGATAGAAATGTTGGTTGATTTTCTTCACTTTTAGTAATTAATTTTGTTCACTATTGTTACTGACTTAGCCTTATTTTTATGAAAATCTGGTACACTTCACTTTAACTGTGTATTTCAATTAATAACAGATCTAATGATATTCGTTAAAATATAATGTGTTTTGAAATGATCCTACAAATTAATTCAAATAGATATTTTCTGTACGTCACAAGAAGTTACAGGTATAGATCAAATTTTCAAAATATCAAGTGGCGTCAAATATCTGAGGTTTTCAAGGATCAAACGTTTTAGATATTTTAGAAAAAGGTGATTTTTTTTTTTAATTTCAGCATCCTGTATCTCGAAAAGTATTGATTTATCGATCCATGTTTATATAACCGTTTTTGAAAAAAGAAACTTGTTTCATCTTGCATATGCTGAAAACTGAAATTTCAATAAAAATTTCTTCTTAACACAGCTTAATTGAAAGTATTATAGGGAAATCAATGGACATTTTACAAGTTTTGATTCAATATTTTTATATTTTTACATACTTGAAAACATTGTAAAAAAGTAAGTTGTATTAAAATTTTCGATTGCTTGATTTTGGAGGCAAAGTGGTTTATTTCTATAAAAGAATTAGTTTGAGAAATGACGTTTGCTGTATTTGAAATTGATCTGTCTTGGATATAATTACAAGTGTTTTTTAATTTGTTAATAGCTTTTAATAAAGGGTTCCTTAAGTAGTTAAAAGGTGGAAGAATCTGGTGATACAAAAATCATAAGTGGTGAAATATCTACTTGCTGAAAATAAAGGATACCCAGAAACAATGATAAAATTTCAAAGATATATTTTTATGTAACAGATCTGTAAATTCTTTTGATTTCAATAAAATCCATAATAGCGAATTAGCATTATTATTTTTTTTTAATACTTCCCTGTTCATCATCATCCCTTCTGTTATACCAAAAAATATGTATATAGTGAAATATTGGGTTAATTTTAGTTTTTGAATTGTGGAAAATATTAAATAGGTATTTCCATATTCAGGAATAACTTTTGCATTTTAGAAACCTGCCTTGCGGGGTGCCCAATGTAAACCCAGCGTTCAACGTTCCCACGAAAAACCCCGACGATGACACCCTTTATTCCGTTAACCAAAGATTTGCTTACACCGACCCCACCAATTCAAAGAAAAAAAACGTTCAAATGCCAAGTAAATATAAAAATAACAAGATGACTGTTAGATTAAGGCCACGCCAAGTATTGTGTTCAAAATGCAAGGGAATTTGCAACGAGAATTCGGAAAATGTTTCTCGGAAACGGAAGAGTTCGGAGAACGTTCAGAGTTCGTCCCCGCCGCCCCCTCCTAGGAGGAGTGGAAACGCTCCCGTCACTAGATCTGTAAATATTCATTTAAACAATAAGAGGACTTTGCGGGGTAATTCTACTTTAGAGACCAGGTTGACAAGGTTGAACTACCAAGAAGAAAATTCAGTAGGTACGAGAATAATGTGTACATTCTTATATGGAGTAGTGTCTCAATTAGAGGTCCAAAATTTTTGAAAAAATTGCGCTGGTAAAAAATCGTTTTTCCCCAAAAAAATTGAAAAAAATATGGAAAACTTGTACTTTTGTTGAAAAGATATGAAGATAAGATGTATTTAAAGAAACAATCTTTAGAAATTGCTTTAGTAAAAGAAAATCATTCTTAATATGTTTAGAAAGACTAAATAAATGTTGCTCTGGAATCAAAGGCATCTGACATGAAATCTAATGCAAAATAATGTTTTTTTTTTCTGAAATTGCTTTAATGTTCTAATTTGTTAATTATAAAAAATTAATATTTTGTTTATTTTCATTGTTTCGATCATGGAAAATTAAGATTGATTAATTCGTGCTTGAGTACTAATAATTTGAAATTTGAGAGCATCCGAATCCCAAATATATAATATATATTTTGTTAAAATGTGTTGTTTTGAAACTAATTGAGGCTTATTCCAAAAAATACAGGGTGCTCAAGAAATGGTGAGCAATCTTTCAGATTTGGGCAGCACTTGCAAAAATAACATAAGTGTTATTTTGTTTTTATTCAGATTTACCCTGTAGACTTATTAGCGTTATAAAAAGTCGAGTGTTGAAAAAGGTACTAATGTAATTAATTTACTGATAGCTACGTTGGGGGCCCTGGGACAGTGCGCCTTCAGCTGTCTTGATCATGTACAGACTTCCTTTTTTAATTCTTATCGTTTTTAAGATTGCTGTACTTTTTTAAGTGAAAAGTTGTACTTGTTTAATATGGACTCAAGGACCTGTTTTCTAGATAAACGCATTTAATCATGAAGACATGATACTATTTTTAACATATACTCGTATATATAATTATTAACAATACTAAAAATACATGAAAAGTAAAATCAATCTTTCCTACAACAAAATAAATAAAACATAAAAAACCAGAACCTAAAGAATTCTCGGAAATAGTATACCATCATTATTAAAAGCTTTTATCTCGAAAACGGTTCCTTGTGTAGATGACAAAGAAGTATACATTGTCCACATTAAAAAGTACAAAAGTCTTAAAATGGGTGAATTAAAAAAGTAAACTTGTAACTTTTTTGAGGGCGAAGACTACCTAAAGTAAGTCAGTAAATTGATCACATAACATCAAAAAGCGTAGCTTTTAAGGAAAAACTATCCAAATTTGATAATAAACAAAAAAGTTATCATGAATAATGTTTTTCAACTTCGGGAGCTCTACAAGGTGAGCCCGAATAAAAGCAAAATAAAACATAATGCTCGCCATTTCCTGGATGTCCCAAGATATCTGGAAAAATATTTGAATCAATATTTTTTTTTTCATTTTTCCATTTTTCCAATTGTTCAATTTTTTCCAAGTTATTAAATATTTAGTCCGAATACAAATTCTGGCATGGAAGCAAGGCCATTTAATTAAGTTTATCTCTGTCCATCTTTGTTTACCCAGATCAAAGTGAGAAAAAATAATTTTTTTCCAAATACGTTCTAAAACGTTTTGTTTTACTAAAATGGTATACTAGAACTTATTTATACAGAGTGCACTTGTTTTGAAGCACATTATTGTAATCTAGGTTACCTTAAGAGATACAAGGTTGGTCAAGTTAGGGCAAAGTTGTGGAATTTATGACGAATAACTTGTCAAAGATTTTGTTTGAAGTTATCAACTGAAAATTTGGTTTTATTTATAAAACAAAAATGAATAGAGGTGGCGCCCATCAGGAAAATGAAGCAAACTTTTGTTTTTCTTATATGCGTGTTTTTATCGATTACAATGATGCTTGCTCTTCAGACAAATGCGCAGAAAACTTTACCCTGAGTTTACCATTCCTTTTCTTAAGACAATCAGGATAATAATGGTGTGGCTGAAAAAATTGATAGAATTACATTCATAGAAGTAGGTAAAATTTGCGATCTATTGGCAAATATGTCAAAAGTTTTTGCAGATGCCTTTAAACTTTAGTTCTTGTTTTATAATAGATATGCTTTCAGTCTTTTCATTTTTCTTGAAAATCGAACTTGTGACATCTAAACTACTTTTTTCTGTATTTTCGAGGAATAGGGGAAACCATTAGTTGTCGATATTGACCCAGCCTTTACACATAATATTGGAACACCCGTACCAAACAAAACCAATTACGATTTTAAATAAATACATTTTATTTTAGATAAGTCCAATTTGGACAGCAACTCCAACAAGAGGCCCTTGGGGAGCACGCAGCAAGAAAATTCACAAGAAACAGACAAAAACCATTCCTCAGAGCATTCCTCGGATAGTTGTAATACGGACGATGCGGAAGCACCACCCCTAAAAATAGTTAAGAGAATATTAAGGAAAAAGCGAAGCGTCAGTTCGGCAGAAGAGCAGTGGGAAGAAGCGGGTTATCAAGAAGATTTAAATAGGTAACTTTTTAGAGATGCATTCGATTTTAGTGTTGAATATTTTGATTCTACATTTGAAGTAAAGTTAACTGATTGATTGATTTCTCAGGCAAAAACTATTACTTGTACTTTTTTTATGATGTGCATTATAGAATTTAAGGTTGTTTTGTATTTTATTTAAAGATGCTTCCTTGATCCTCTTTCAGATAGAGTTTTCTAACTAATATTTACTCTGTGTTCTCCCTTAGTGCTAACAAGTTCAATTTCGAAACATTTTTCTGAGTCTACACCATTGTGGAAAACCTGGAATTACAGGGAATTTCATAGACCTGAAAATGTGAGGGAATTTTTAAAATGTTCCTACAATTTTATTACAATAATTGTTATCGGTCCTTACTTACGGAGTCACCAAATTATTCTATGTATTACTTTATCTATTTCTGTTTTTATTATATCCAGGGTGTCCCGAATACCTTAAACCAAATTTTACTGTTGATAAACACATTTTTCGAAAAATATATCTTCAATTTTGGCCAATTAAAATGCGTTAATTTCCCCTAAATCAAAAATCCCCAATATATTTTATTTGTCATTATTTGATATTCAGACAATCTAAAATTGTTAGAATTTTTTTAAATCAAATGGAAATGTTTCTTTTTTGGGGAGAGCCAAAATGCAAACTTTATTATTGGCCACTGTATAATTTTCTGAATAATCATACTTCATTAAATAAGTGGGAGATAAAAATAAAGAATTTGGAAAATGATGGACATTTTTGTCTGATTTTTTTTCAAATCTTCCTAGAAGCATCAAAGAATTTTTGGGTCAAAATTTGGTATACACCCTGATTTTTTCTTTTACTGCTTTTGCTATATTCTACTAAATTCTACTAAAATGACATGAAAGAAATACATAAAAGGATTATAAAACTTTAAACAACCATTAGTGGCTGTAAAAAATAATTTTACTCATTAAAAATTGTTAGTAAGCAGTTAATTTTTGAATAATCGTTTTTTGTTGTCAAAACTAAACCGTCTAAACTTCACTCAGATAATATATTTAGTTTACCAAAATATTATTCTAAATGAGCGTTGTCACTGTGGATATTAGTTGGAAAAAGATTGGCAGTTAATAGGTGGAAAGTGAATTATAGAACTTACCTATGTTTAATTTAAACAAAAATTTTTGATGCATGTGTTGACAAAATTAAATAAAGTTTACAATTTTTTGATTCAGTTTTCAATACACAAATATTCAAAATGTTGACATTAAATTTTTTGGTATTGTGTATAAAAATCTAAACCTGTTTTCATTTACTTCACATTTCTTTACTTTTTATTTCATTTAAGAAATAACTTCCTTTTTCAGTCCACACTCGACAGACAGTCAGCGACTAACTACTTTCTATTGTTTTTTTCACATAATAATTCAAAATATACTTCATCCCAAGCATTTTTCTTAATTTTTTTGTCATTTTTTGTCTGCTAGAGGTATCGTATGGTGCTTTTGCATCTCGCTGATCGAATTTTCTACATCAATGCCTATAGCAACCGGGGCGCCCATCCTGAAGTGGTACTGACTGCAGATTGATGTCAGATATATCAGTGGTGTAAACAATACATGCTCTATTCCCTGAATCGACAGTTGAATTGGTCAAAAAAATAGAATGTGGTGCATTTGTTCTGTCAGAACTACATTCTTGGACGTCTGTGCATGTTCAATTGGGTCATGGTCATTTTGCCGAGAAAATAGTTGGCCATCGACTGTCTCCCACTATTCTGTACTGTCTTCATACTGTTTTAACAATAATCAGTTTAGAACCTAGCAGTGTGTATTTATAGATGACTTTAATGAATAAGCGAGTGTGCACACGACAGAGAGTCGGCGACCTACTATTTTTTGGGCGAATGATAAAATATGACGTACTTATGAAAACACTCAGGCGTGATCTTGTTTCAAAACATAGTTTGCTGATTGTTGTGTGTGCCTTTACTAAAGTGTACTTCTTTCCTAGGCTCAAAATATTTGTTTTTACAATTAAATGTGGTACAGTAAGCTCGAACGGTTAAATAATTTAAAGAAAGAATGTACTAGAATTAGTTAATTATACAGGATGGTCCATTTAACATTGCTCAGCCCTGTGTCTTGAAAATTTAATGAAATATCTATGTCCTTTAGAAAAAATTATGTAGCTCATGAAAATAAGTTGAATTCTCAGTTGAAATCGTATTACCCTTTATAGCGATATAGATAATACAGCAAAGAAATTTTTCAGTCATAGGAACTTAGGAAAGCAATCCACATGAAAAAACGTTAAATTTGCAGCAACTTTTTTAACATAAATAATTTTTTCCAAATTTTTAAGACAAATTATAATTTCTAAAATTAATTGGGTTATTTGTACTTACAACTTTTTTTATATTACTTTGTGCTGATTAAAATGATAAATCTTGTTTTATCTGGAAATTACTTTCTGATTTTTAATTGAAACCTTATTTTTTCTTTTGATTATGAAAAACCGTTATTTTGAAAAATGTAAATAATATAAACACTCTTATACAAAATTATAAGCTAACAGTCACAGTAAATATTCAAAACTCAATTCAGTAAATTTGTAGTTCATACCTTCACAGATTTGATCAAATTTTTCTAGGTGTGATGGACAAATTGCATATATTTTGTTACGTAAATCAGATAAGCTGTCAATTTCTGTCTGATATTGAGATTCTCAGATAATTCCACAAGAAAAAAATCAACTTTATGTTTTCTGCTTATCTTTCATGTGGGTTTACAAAATTTAGATGTCTTTTTTGGTTTCCTCTTTGAATATCAAAAATAGTATGACTGATAATTCCCAAATCGTCTGTCTGTAGATGTATGCAATTAACGATTCTAGGTAAAAGCCAGGTTTAAGCTTGACTTATTAATCCATGCCAACAAATTTTTAAAACAAATCCAACACCTATTTACAAAAAAAAGACAGTCACAGAGAATCTGTGGCAAAAGCATGAATTAAAATTATGTGAGTCACTCCACAAGCCAATGCTGTGTTCTTTAAATTTTATAACTTAATTTCTGCCAGGAACAGCAACATCGGCGTGCAATCCAGCACCGGCACGATGGACCCGCCTCCTAACCCTAACAGTATTTCGACGACCAGCACGAGAACCATTAAAATATCCTATGGTCCCCAAGGTGAGGGCACCGTACTTAAAATTCCCGCACAAATAGACAGCATAAAGGACGACGATTCTGAAGAGAACGTCAACGTAGAACAACAGGGTAATAAAATCAAGGAGCCCGACAACAAAGCTGCACGCAGGGCATTGAAAAAAGCCAAAAAGGAGGCTCGGAGGAAGGTCTTGCTCTCCGGGAGTTCACCGTTGTATTTAGGAGGCGCTTCACCGAGGTATATGATAGGTGGATCTTCTCCTAGGTATACGGTTGGAAGCGCGTCTCCTAGACATGGTTTGGGTAACAACTCGCCGCGATACATGTGTACTTATGAGCTGAATGTGCCCAGGAGAAGAAAACACAAGATGAAGCACAAAAAAAAACATCGTGAGGATAAAGATCGGAGGCACAAGGAGGGGGAGGTAGGTGTAGGTTTTTTAGTAACACAAAACTTACAGGGTGTCTCAATATTACGTGAACTTGGAAATACCACAGATTCTTGGGTCGAAATAAGACGATTTAAGTAGTAACTTTCACACGAAACAAGTATGCTCGTACCTTTTTTGCAAATGAACTTACAATTCATTTTGTGTTTTATCATGAGGATAAGAGCTTTTTTAAAGTTTTTCTGTATCTTTGCAAATTTTTTGTTTTCTGCATTGTGATTTTATTAGTCATTATATCGTTTTCAATACAAATTTGGTTTGTCAATAAAAAATGTGATTTATTTCACAATAAACATAAAATAATGTTTTGAGGAGTTCAGGAACTTGTTGTGAAATGTTCTTTTAAGAAAATGATTGTATATGATTAATATCTTTAATAAATCTTTATTCAAAGACAAAATTTATTGCCCTAAGATTTTTCTCTTAGTTGCTAACGGGTGTTGAATTTGAATAAAAAATTTTAGTATTTTTCTAATTGAAAGGAAATTTGGTGTGTGACGTAAAGAGCCTTGTCTCTCATGTATTTTTTTAATGTTTTTTTAGTTATTATATCGTTTTTGATACATTTGAGGTGTATAAAATAACGAAACTGATGCTGTAAAACTTTGTATTTTAAATTTACACATTTATACATAATTATTGTCCCTGTCAATATACATCCCTCCTCTGTCCCTACACAGCTCCATGCGAATTTTCTGTTGATCAAAACAATGTTGAAAGTCTTTTTCTATGAACTTGTTCCGCTTTTGCTTACACAGTTTCAACGGTCCGAAATCTTGTTCCTTTAATGTTTGACCTTAGGGAACAGGTAGTGGTCACATGGTGCCAGGTGAGGCGAATAAGGCGAATAGTGTAACATTGGGAACTTGACTAGAAACATCTTGACAGACATTTCAGTGAGCCGGTGCGTTGTCCTGATGAAGAACCCATGACTTTTTTTCTGATTTTTTCATGGAGTTTAGCAAGAACCTCATGGTAGTAATCCTGATTAACAGTTTGATCTTCAGGAACCCAGTGAAAATACAGAATCCCATGGATATCGACGTTCACACAAATTGTTTGGATGTTCAAATTCTTATGTAAAATTTGCCTTACGCATTCTTTGTCAATACCTACAGTTTCAGTAATAACACGAATAGTTAACCGATGGCCAGATTGCATCAGATTAGCGACTTTTTCAATATTTTTATCCGTTTTTGACTTGCTAGGGCATCCCAGGTGTGCGTCATCTTTTACGTCTTCTCGGCTTAGAAACTCTTAAACCACCCAAAAATCCACTCGTGATAAAAATTCATTGCCATATACTTGTCTTAATATAAGTTTCAGTAGCGGTTCTTTCAAGTTTCATATGAAATTTTACAATTCTTTGCTCTATTACAACTTACCATTTTTCCGGCAGAACGAAAAAATAGATCTTATACAAACGAAGGCCACAGCTAAACTAGTATGTCTCCATACACAGTAAAGGCGGCAATCGAAAGAGGAGCCTTCGTATCTGATTTGTCATTAAAAATTTGATACTTTTGATAATAAAAAAACACAATAATGTTTAGTGGTGTTGAAAAACTTGTAATCGAATGTTCTTTCACAAAAAATTATTAGATGAATCACCATTTTTCGTAACATTTTAATGAGAAATATATATATTGCTCTTATCCTTTCTTAACTTTTTTTTTTTTTAAAACTGTTATTTTAATTGTGTTTTTTAAGTGTAAAATAAAACACTAGTTAACTGCAGCAGAAAAGATTTTTTTTCCTAGAGCAAAAATGTGCTTTTTGTCCAGTTATTTATTTATTTAATTGCATAATTGCTTAAAAAAATTAACTATTTATTTTTGAAAATGTATTTATTCCAATTGAATAAATTTTACAAGTCAAACTAATAAATAGGGCTCTCAGAACTGAGCCGTGCGACATAGGCAAACCCCAACGATAAGAATTAATTACTTAACGTCCACACAATAACAAAGTCAACCAACAGTATACTAATGTGACGTGAACATGAAAAGCATTCTGAGGTAGCGGTTCACGCATGTCTCGGTTAACCCTCTTGGCACACCATTGAATTGCGGCTTTTTCTGACAGCCTTACTAACCTTTACCATTATTATTTTTGTTCAAAAATTACAAATTGAGATTTCCAATCTTATAGTAGAAAAGTTTATTCTAGACGTGGAGGCAAGGTACTCTAAGCATCTGAAACAGTGACCCATATAGTTTTTCAGATGCAGCAATTTCTCTTGGAGTGCCTCTTATTTTATTAATACCAACCATCCACTTGATTGGCACATTTTCCATTTCCATCTAGAGTATTTTCAAAATAATTATGAAATACATCTGAGATGGCAAATGTTTCTGGGTATGCCTCAGGAATTTTAATGATAACAGTTTGTTTTCTATATCTTATACTGCCATTTTTAATAGTTCTTCTCTTCTACAAGCCCCATAATGTCCATTATTAAAATAATCTGAAAAAAACATAATTAGGGAAACTAATACGTCCTAATATAGAATAACACTACTTTATTTATAAAGTATTTGTCTGCTTTTTAATTGTATTCCCATACTTTGTAATAGTGGAAATTAAAGATTATTACTTTGTATTAGTATTAAGGTGGATCTTCTACGTTAATAAATTGTTCATCAGAGACTTCTTGTACAAATGTTTCAATTTTTACTTTCGCTAAAATTCGAGACGTCATTGGACAATATCCAACTAATTTACTTTTCAAGTAGGATAGCAGATTTGATTGATTCTTTTATATTTTTTTAATATTCAATCTACTTTTTAACGGAGATTAAATTGACTATAATGTTGAACTTAAAAGCCAGTAACACATTTTCAGATATTTTCTTAATTTTCTATTCAGTGTGCCACTTTTAACCATTACAAGTTGTTTCATGTTGTCTTGCAGATTTTTGGAGAATAAGTTGGATACTGCTCTTTCTGCGGCTTTCGATACTTCAAAAGGCAAATATTCTTCATCACGAAAAGGTCATTTCACTTTCCACTTCATACTTAACACTTGATTTGTAATATTTTAATACTAAATTTTTTTTAACATTCGCAAAATTTCTCAACATGACAGATATGGAACAAATATGACGACCAGAACTAAATGACTAATGATACTTTGTTTGGTTTCTATGACTACTTATAGCATATCAAAATTCGATCGATACATATTTCTATTATAAAAATATATAATTAATTTACCGTAAATGTCAACATTTTTATTACATTTTTCGCAAATTGTGATAATATTTCGAAGCAGTTTTCGAAAAAATATTGTTTGATTCAGATTCTAATGTTGCTTTTGTATTCTCGAATGGTATTTTTATTCGCTGATGCTCACAAAATACTCACTACTTTTGAACTCGACAAAACAATATTACGTTTTTATTATTTTATTAGTTTTTTTAATTTCAAAATTACGTGAAAATCTGTGCAAACAAGAAACGTTTTTAAAAGAATAAATACTTGAAAAAAGTTCTTGCTATATGATAAAATAATAAGTGGAGTTGCGAAGTCATCTCATTTTTAAAAATATAATTAATTCAGCTACTATGTCAAAAAGTAACATCTACATATTACTAGCATACCATATTTCATTTAAGTCAAGTGTTTTAGATTCATTTGGAAAAAAATTTTTTGTCAACCCCTTTTGCAACTAAACGAAGCTACTTTGGATATGCTTTTTTGCTTAGTTAAATCGTTATGTTTTAACCCAAAAATATGTGATACTTCTATTTGCTCATAATATAGAGACCTTCTGTATGTCCTGAAATAATAAAACTATTGCAAAGCTTTATTTGTGTCTGAAAAATCACATCTGAAGGGAATCAAAATTTGACACCTATATCGAACTCATTTGCATCATTACAAAAATCCTCTTATTTCTGGCGATGCAAATTATTAATTCTGTATTTTTTTTAATTGGCAACATTTTGAACTGGTTTAATACATTTTTTTTTAAATACCATTATTATAAAATTGCCTAAAATATATTTTTTTGTGAAATTTAAAAATGAAAAATTAATATCTTGTAAAATAATAAATGTTCTTAAATAAGTATTATAGAGGACTAGATCGATATTTCTCTATTATTTAGGTCAGTTCAACACAAGACGACTCAAAGGAACAGTGTATTACTCAAAAACTGTCCATAAATCTCAAACGACTCAACAACACTTATACTTCTTCTACAACGTCTGATAAGATAGACGATAACATGTCTAGCTCCGATGAACATAACGAACAATTTCCAAACTTTCCACCACCTAATCCACCTCTGATGCTGCGGATCAATGCCCAGACTGTATCTAGTGCAATGGGTGCAGACGGTAAGCCCACAATGTTAAATATTTGCATGAATCGAAATAAAAAATATGGAGTACGCTACTTACTTTTTACTCGATTAAAAAGAGCTTGAAATACAAGAATACCTGCACGAATTTGTATAATAATTTCATTGAAACTGCTAATATTACCATCAAATTAAGTTAACATTGTTGGAGTTGAACGATTTCTTAATAAAAATCGTCCCGTGAATAAATGAGATGCTGTGGCTGCATTTTGTTGGCATTCCTCATAAATTAAAAAATTATTAATATCTTTGTTACTTTGCAACTTTTATATGGGTGACTGCTGGTAAAATTATTGTTTACTGCAAATATCTACCTGTAACTAAATTCTTTCTAAATAACCAATTTTGATAAAGCCTAAAATTATTTGTAAGAAAGTGTCTAAGGCCCTCCCTCCGCACATTGAGCGACTAAAAAGAAACAAACTGCAAACTTAAATCGCCCAAATCGCCAATCAGTTGCTTATTAGTTACGGTCCATGTATTTCAACGAGAATCCGCATACAACACAGCTAGTTGGTAACCGGTTTGTAACGTGATCAGTAACAACGACATGCAGAGTCACTCAACGATTAATTCCTATTTTGTTTTATAAAGAAACAGAAATAAAATTGTAACATGTTCTATTTGTATTTTGTTCTAGGAGTTCGTCTATTAGTCGGTGACGTGGTGTGGGGCAAAATTCATGGGTTCCCATGGTGGCCTGGTAAAATTTTAACGATAACGAGCTGCGGAGCGCAAGGTCCCCAAGCTCATGTAGCTTGGTATGGCTCCTCTACATCCTCATTGATGCAGTGTGATCAGTTGAGCCACTATTTAGATAATTTTAAGGTACAATACGTTTTTAATCAACTACACTTCTAGTTATTGAATTGTTTTGCCTAGACTCGTTACAATAAGAAAAAGAAGGGTCCCTACAAAGAGGCGATAAAGCAAGCCACCACTGAAGCGAGAGAAAACGCAGAGAACAGGGTGAGGCAGCCCTTAGGAAATTCGCCGTCACACAATATCATCCAGGTTGTACCCCCTGCTCTGGCTTCTCCTAGGGAAATAGATGTTGTGTCATAGGAACTGTAAATATATTTATAGGTGGACGTTCCCAGCAAAATGGATGTTAAAATTCATAGCTTCGGCTGCTCGAAGCTGAGAGGCGTACATAGAACTTTCTTTGTAAATTTTAAATGGTGTTATGCTTCTATTTTTCTAAATTCATTTGAGAATTGTGATTTGAAGATCTGCGGTCGTTTTCGTGCGGATTCATTGAAGGTTTGTGTCGGATAATAGATTTTATTACACGAGGAGGAAAATTTGGTACAACATTCCTCATTTTTTCTTTTTAATTTGTAATACACTCTACTAATGGACAAAATTATTGAATATTTTAAAATTTCCAGAATTTCTTTTTGAAAAAAATAATTTTCATGAACCAGGTCATTTAGGCTGTATTGAATATATTTTTGAGGAATTTCCTTCCATTTTTACTGTGTTGCAATCGAAAGCTCTTATCTTGTGCTTAAAATGGAATTTTTTCATCGTATGTGACACTTTCGCTGATTCTACACATGTTGCAATGGATTTAAGTCTGGGCTATACGGTGGTCAATCTAATGTTTGAATTTGCTTTGCATGGAGGAAATTAATTACTATGCCAGGTGCAGGTGCGCGAGCTTTACCTCACATTAATACAAATCTTTCGCGTCCTATATAGCCGATAAATGGAAAAAACACAATTTTGCAAGATGTTTCTGATGTAGAAGTCACCAGTCATTTGTCCAATCACTTCCACGGTTTGGTTCGTCTCTCCCAACCAATACCTCCTTAAAACATCACAACTTGCAAAATTAACACTGTGTATAAGATTGCAGCTGGCATACTCCGAAACTTTTCTGTAGATGTAGTTTCATCCATTTAGCTTCCATATTTCAATTCTGGACACATCCGTGAAGAAAATAATTTGCCAATGTTTGATTTCCACTGAACATCTCTTCTAGGAGCTTTGTGATTCTGAAGAAGACGTAGAACTGTGGCAGACCATCTTGACCTTGAACCTAAGTCTTTTAATCGTTAAAAGTGATAACAAAAAATCTATATGCCATAAAAAAATGAAATGCTGTTCGTTGGTAGACACATCACTTGAGAACGATTTTTTTTAAATAGTCTGAATAAGGTTTTTAGGGAAAAGTTGCGCGGAAAATTGGAAAATTCTGGAAATAGCCACTGCTAGTATTTGATAATTTTGCTCGTGAATGAAAGTTAAAAATCTAAATTTTTTGTATATGTAAAAGTGAAAACAAATTTTGCGTACATAAAATTTTCCATATAAGAAAAAATGTTTTCGGTTTCGGTTCTTCTGGGAAATGGAGAATCAAGCTTTAAAGTTCCTTGTAAGTGAATACGTTGTCCACGTAATTAGAATCAAGCGAAATTTTAAGGGGTTTGAATTTATTTTATGAAAACGGCCTTGGCGAGTCATTGATTAAATTATATGTAAAATAACCAGTACGGAATGCAGACAAAGAGTACCCTATATACATTAATCAGTATGTGCAGACAGGGTGTTAAGAATTTGATATTTTACTGAGATTTAACATTTGTTGAAGAAAACGTTAAGATTCTGTATATATATTTTTAAGGATTTGAATACCGTTTTGTACTAAATTTCACTTTTCTGTTACACCTTGTTTTATTTATTTAATTAAGGCGTTCAAAACATAAAAAAAAAACTTATTTTTATATCTGTAGTTGATTGGCGACGCAAAATAAACCAAATTTCTTAGTTATATTATATTTATTTTCTACATATTTTGCACCTCTGTAATGATTGATGTAGTGTTTTTATATTATAATTGTACGATAGTAATTTTATAACTGCTTGTCAAGATTATCTCCTTCTTTTTTAACAAGATTACTTTGTAGTTTTGCAGTCCAAGTAGTAATTTACTGCTAGACGAGTTTCCTATTTCAAATTATGTGATAATTTTTTAAACATCATTTGTATTAGGTCTTATGAATCATGCATTAATTTAAGCTGTAGGAATCTGTTAATAACAATAATACATCTGTGATTTTATTCTTTTAGATAAGAGTAGTTGTAAAATTAATAAACATGAATATTTGCAACGATTTGCATTTTCAATTCACGTTAAATACACAAAACATTAAAATTTGTAGCAAAAATCACTCTTCGGGATTTTTTTATACTTTATTTCGTTCAAATAAAAATACAACTTATATTCCAGACAATTAAATTAATTTATAAAATTGAACTATTTAAACAATGTGCTGGAATATTCCTTGTCGTATCAACTCCTCACATTCAGATCTGGGTAAGTAATGTCTACTATCTTTCTTCAAGAGTATAATTGAACCATCGTTTAATTCGTACTTTCCGTAATCCACCAAACACCGCACTTCTACATACAACGCTTTTGGAGGCTTTAAATTGACAGCTAGATTCACACCCTCCTCACCAATTGATCTCATGTACCCCGCTAGTGTTCTTGAATATTTAGAAAACCATTCTATCTCGGAGGCACTGAGATGGGATTTAATATCAGCTGGTAATATGCTGCCAAATTCCCACCTTATGTTCCGTAAACACTTAATTCTATTGTAGTGATAAGCCATAAGGCAACGGATGTTTCTTTTCACCGCCGCGTGACGAATCTTCATTGTGGGAACTAAAGACGTACCAGTGTTAGATTCATCAGTTGAAGTTTGACTTAAAAAAAAGAACACTGTTTATTCTTACTAAATATATTTAATAGAACTACTCACGCATCCTCTTGGTTTTCTTCAATCAGCAACTTTATTTCATTGTTTACGGCAGTGACTAGTTCATTCTGAAATATGTTAGTTTTTAATGAGGTAGCGATCAGTTACAAATATTTACATTGTATGGTGGTAAATTATCCTCACAGCGAGAAAGATCTTTTACTAAAGTATAAGCTTTTTCACAAAACATTTCAAATCTGTTTTTAAACAATAATGAAGAATTATAACCACACTTTCATTGAACATGATTTAATTCGCGCCAGCTGCAACACAATAACTACTACTATTTGAACTACCTTTTATTATATCAACTATTAAGAACATATTTTTGACTGCAGCCTGCAGCGCAGAGATAACAATATTCCTTTCTTTATGACGTAGCGCATAACATTTTTGATGAATTAACTAAAGAGCAAATATAAAGCACAAAACTTTTAATATTATAAATTATTTATTAATTTTCTCGAAGCTGTGCAGAATCAACGACACTTTGAACTACTTTTTAAGTTTAACGTCTGCTGCTGGTAGATACAACGAAATAACAATAATGAGATGTGTCATATCCCCGGGTGTTGTCTTTTTTGATAACGATAACGATTCTGATTGTGTAAATTATTATATCTAAATAATATTTACTGTTCCCTGTTTCACTGAATGTTTACAATTTAAGTTTTATTTATTTAAGTGTGTGTTTAGTTTCAAGATAATTAAAAAAGTCGTAACCTAACCTAAGAAAAGATGTGGAAGGCTGCTGCTGGTCAACAAATTAACATAAAGGAGCAAAATAATGAAGACGATGAATGGGAGACCGATCCTGATTTTATTAATGATGTAGACGAACAGCAACAGAGATGGGGTTCGACAACAATACAGGGGTCAGGTCGTACAGCGGGTGCAATCGAGTAAGTCACTATTCATTCAAAACCGGAAATAATTGTTATAATAAGGACTATGTAGATCTATTAATGGTCTTTTATAGCTGCTGTTTGCATTCTTTATCTAATCAGGTTGCCAGTATATGATGGCTATAATTTTTATACTGAAAACAGTTAAAATGTTATTATTTGTACTTAGATTTATATTAATAGCGTGCTCAATTATCCTTCGTTTTGAAAACTCTTCTGTAAATTATATTTTAAAAAAATGCCGTCTATTTTTCTGCAGAGCATTTCTGTTAATCATCTATTTTCAGTATGGATAAGCTGAGGAAAGAAACCGAAGAAGCAGATGCATTAAAGAAGAAGAAAGCTCTGGAATCAAGTGAGCACAATCCATCTTACGGATATGGAGGTAAATTTGGCGTAGAGAAAGACCGCATGGATCAGTCAGCTGTCGGACATGAATATATTGGGAAAGTTGAAAAGCACGCCTCCCAAAAAGACTACAGTGCTGGATTCGGAGGAAAGTTTGGTATACAGTCCGACAGAGTAGACAAGGTAAATTTCTGAGCATTTATATTATTTTCTAGTCAAAATTGTAGGTAGTAACTAATTTTCAACATGATAGGCACTTCTGACAGACAATTTTGTTAAAGAACACACATTCCCACAGCATCACTCATCGACATATCTGTGTTTCATGCTCAAATTATCTGATAACTTTATCATACAATGTTCTTGATGTGTTGAATTCACTTATTTACAACTATCCCTTTTTAACAGATTAGTCATTAACACAATTCCATTTTTAAAAATACATTTAATTTTAAGTGATGGCTAAATGACCGGTGATTTTTGATCATTTAATTTTAAGTTTAATTTAAAAAAATTATGTTTCCTTGAATCGGTATTTTGTTATGTTCATTGCACATTTCCAAACTGTTTTGTACTTTATAATACAATAACTACTCTCTCATTCTGGTTGCATGTTCTACATATCATATTTTAAAAAATTACATTATGCAAACCTTTGTCCAATATTTGCAATGTTTAAAGTAACTATATGTAAGTAAGGTACTCACTGCCTACTATTTTGGAACTCTAATATAATTGTGTTATGCCTGTTATATATTAAATAATTATTTCGTGACGTATTATGTCTTAGAGTGCAGTAAGCTGGGACTACAAGGAGAAAACCGTAAAACATGCCTCACAGAAAGATTACGTGTCAGGATTCGGTGGCAAATTTGGTGTACAGACAGACAGACAGGACAAATCGGCCGTTGGATGGGATCACGTTGAGAAAGTCGAAAAACATGAGTCACAAAAAGGTAAACAACATATTTAGAAAATCCTTTATAATTTAACCGTTTTCTTATAGACTACAAGACTGGTTTTGGGGGTAAATTTGGGGTTCAGTCAGATCGCCAGGACAAATCTGCTGTGGGTTGGGATCATCACGAAGCGCCCCAAAAACATGAGAGCCAAACGGATCACAAGATAGGATTCGGAGGTAAATTTGGACTGCAAACGGATAGATTCGACAAGTCAGCTTCCAATTTTGACCCGCCGTCAAAAGTGGGAACAAACTATACCAAAGTAAAGCCCGATATCGGAGGGGCCAAGCCTTCTGATCTGAGGGCCAAGTTTGAAACAATGGTAAGTGTTCAATTTGTTGCATGTTCTGATAAATCTTTTAAAAATGTTTATTTCCAACACTATTTTTATAAAATTAGCATGATGTATTTAATCTGGAAAATCTAGAATTTTATGGGAATTTCATAGATCTGAAAGTGTCAGAAATATTAAGAAACTTCTTTAATTTTTATGGAATTTTTCCCTTTCCTATTTTTTTAACTACTGAAACAAATTTAAGTATCAGTGCATAACAGATCTTTGAAAGAATAGAAAATCTGTTTTTTAAACTCCAAAATCTTTTGTGGGTGCCATTGTACAATTTTTTAAATAATCATCCTTTGTTAAATATTTACATTGGAACAATGACTGGTGTTGACTGAAAAACGGAAACTGATATAGACTATTCTTCGCAGACTGGAAAATTTTTTAAATAGCTTGGAAAACCTGGAAACTGAATTTTTTGGTCGATACTTAATATACATACAGAATTAGGTAGTTTTCCATTTTAAAGGCACTCATTTTAGGCTCAAGATAAAAAATCTGAGACTGCACCCGTAACGACAACACCTCGCAAGAACGTACACGCCAAAGCTGCCCTATTTGCCAACGCCAACCAGGAGGACGTGGTGCCTCAATCGCCTGAAAAAGTCCAAACTCCGAAACAGTTAGACCTGTCTAAAACTGCTTTTCTCACTCAGACCAGCCAGCAGGAAGTTACGACCCAGATCGAAAAGTCAACGAGTAAATTGGATCACTCCAAGACTGCGTTTTTGACTCAGAAAAGTGAATCGGGCACTGAGAATGCGGAGAAGGTGGTCCCGAAACAGTTGGATCAAACGAAAATTGCTCAGTTTAACGCTCAAAATGATGATAGTGCAATCGAGAAGAATACGATAAGTCAGGTATGCTACTAAAAAACTAACCCCTCTCCTACTTAAAGTTACTCTGGATTACCGTCACACCACATTTGAAATCGTTCTTGTTTATTTCTATTCTCTTTGCAAATTAATTCACTTATTTCCTGGACCAAAGCGCATTATCGATACAGTTATTTAAACTTCAGTTAATCGCTATGAATGATGTCCAGTAAACAACCAAAATGAAAACAGAGAGTGAACCGAGTACAACTCTGTTACACACTACTTCTCCCAAACTCCAGTAATAAAGCATGTAAAATATATTTTTTTAGGTGCAAGAAGAGCTAGAACTGTTGAGGCAGTTGCAACAGCAAAAGCAAGATGACAACGAGGAGGAAGAACAAATTTACGAGAACTTCGAAAGCGCAAAAGTACAGCAGGCTCAATATGAAACACGTCAAGAACAGGTGAAATTACATTTCGGCGTAGAATTAACACAAATCGATTTCGTTATGCTGTTTTTAGATAACTTCTGAGTCTGAGGTAATTACAAATAACGTGGTTGAGACTACGGAAGTGGAGGATTCGGAAGATTATAGCCAGGAAGAGATAGTGGACACAGGAATATCTGCAATAGCCCTATATGATTACCAAGCGGCTGCCGACGACGAGATATCTTTCGATCCGGATGATATTATAACGCATATAGAAAAGGTAAATATTTATAGTTCAATTCCAAGGTTTACGTTCTCAAAAAAATGTACCTGCTTTTTTTTAATCGTTAATAGATTTCAATTCTCTTTATAAGTTTATTTCTTTTACAGATTGATGCTGGGTGGTGGCGAGGTCTGTGTAAAGGAAAGTATGGGCTCTTCCCAGCAAATTACGTACAATGTAATGAATAATAACTCTTTCAGTATGTAGAATTTATGGCCTATGTACTTAATTTTATATTATTAATTTTATGTTATTGACAACCCCGACATTTTAATTTTATACAAGAATTAACTGTTTAGTCATATATTTTATTATGCTTACTGAAGTAATAAAGATTTACATTACAATTATTAATTTATTTTGTATTTAAACCTAAAAGTGTGAGATCCAGATTTTTTTCTTTTTTTCTCTAATCTGACAAACAGGGCCAGGGCCGGTGCCAGGGTATTTGGCACCTGAAACTAATATTTGCTTATCGCCCGTTGGAACAACTTTATTAATAAAAAGTTATAAAAATTTAAAAAAACATTTCAATAGACAAAAATTAATTTTTACACATCACATATCAACTTTTCTACATTTTTCATTAACAAAGTCTTCAATAATATCAGCGTAAACTAAATAATTTATTATATATTTCTCGATAGCAAGACTGGCTAAGTCTGTTAACCGTTACTGCGCCATGGTTGATCGTAAATAATTTTTAATTTTGAAAAAGAACGTTCTCCACTGGCCATAGACACAGGAATGGTTAACAAAATCCTTAAAGATACTACGATGTTAGAGAAAGTTTCGCTCAACTCGTTGATTTCTAAATAATTAATAAAAGGATAAAGCATGCATTCGGGGACAAAAAATGTTTTTTTCATATTTTGTGCAATTTTCAATTTTTGAAATTTATAAAAAATCAAGTCTTAAAATGCCGCCTGAAATATCTTGTTCGCTGTTTCATTCCTTCCGCCGGCCCTGCACAGGGCTAATGGCTAGAATTTTGAATCTGTTGAAATATAAATTTGAAAATTAAAAATACCCTGCCATCTATCGGTAAGAAACTGTACTAAACTACGTCTTTAGCAGTTAGCCAAATGATTGAAATATTTCAGTCAACGCCATATATCTCATTTACTGGTCAGTTAGTTGAGCTCTTAGCACATAGATGGCAACGTACAGTCAAAATTTCAATTTTTACATTCTTCAATTTTCAAATAAACAGTTTGATTTCGTAACAAACTACTGGTTAAATATGTGCTACCATTGTACATATAAGTAAAGTTACTTATACAATGGTGCTACTGGCATATTCGTGTCATATTCTTCAATTTTTTTCAAAATGTTTTGAGGCACAGAAAAAAGTGGAAAAAAACTGGTGGTCCTCAATGGCCCTAACCAATCCAAAACTGCATTCAGCTAGAGCTTCTCGAATTCTCGGGATTTTAGATTTTTTTTTCATAACGAAAAACCTTGCACAAAAACTGACCATCGCAGAGTGTTCAGCCACTCCAATTGCATCCAATACCGTCTTTAGAAAGACGCTTTAAATTTTTGGCATTTTTTCCTATTCTAATACATAATTCTAAAGCGGCATGGCATTTCGATTTACGAGTACTCGGATCCGAGTGGGACTACTCGGATGAAAATTCGGAAATCTAAACGTGTAATAGTAGAGGAGTACATACTACCTAGTACACGTTTAGATTTTCATTTTCATCTGAGTAGTCCTACTCGGTTCCGAGTACTCGTAAATGTAAATTCCGCTTACTGAGTGTACTATTTCTCTTCTGTAGATTGAGCAATCAAGTTGCATTATATGACCTGCCATCTATCTCTTACAGGTTGCACTGAACTACTGGAGAATTTTTCAGCAGGTTGACAAGAAACACCTACTCACGCTCTAGTTATATAATTGAGCACTGTATGCATAGGTGGCGCCACATCCTATCCTTATTAAAATTATTTGGTTTATGGTCAAATAGTCCGCGATTAATCCACAGATGGCATCACAAATTTAAATTCATTCGAATACATATTTTCCGCAATCGAAAACTCACATTTCACATAATATTTGTTAGGTAGCCTCATATGAGTAACTAAATATACTCATATGGACAGCCTGACAAATATCGAGAACTAAAAGTATTTGAGTATTTTCAGCAATTACCCGAAAACAGAGAGTACTTTTAAGAATAGGATAGTACTCGATTTCTCATTTGAGTTCTCCCATCACTAAAGCTAAATAGTGTACTCAACGATTATAGAGTCAGTGTAAAACAGAAATTGCATTTATGTCACTCCATGTGTCAACAGAGATTTAGTGATTTTAAAAGTTTTCGTGACGTCATCCATGTAAAATAATATTTCAAATTAAAAAAAATATCAATTGAACCGTATAATTGTTTTTAAATTTTAAAGGAACGGTCTATTAATTTTTGTTATTACAACTGGCAACTGGTATGTATAACATGTGAAGGACAGAATATTTCAAAGTGTAATATTTGTATTATTTGTAGTGGAATACTGTATGTTATTTGTTGAGTGCGCCTTTTACTCGACATATGGCAGCACCGACAGAATGTCCAACTCTTAGTTCATATTGCTGCCGTCAGGGAGAGCATAGTTGTCTATCTCTTTTTTAAATGTGTTCGTTTCATTCTGTATCTACTGAATTTTCGAAGTAGTAGTGAGCCAGCCATGTTGGGTAGTGTCGGTGAAAAAAGTGTTTATACGTAAAAAAAAATTGTTAAACAATTGTGTTGGTGAAGTGTTGCTTGTTAAGTGACTACTTAAAATTGGATTAATGACCGCTCTCACAGAAACCATGAATTGGGGCACGGAACTTTGGGTAAGTCGACGTTTTATCTCCGCTATTCGCTTTAAAATCAAATTACCTTCTCGGTTTCCATAGTAACGAACAATTTCCAACGATAATTGTTGCAATTCAGTAAACTTGCAGTCTGCAACGACGGGCTTACATTGAAATCAGGATTATGAAAGCAGTTGTGCAGTGCAACTTCTTTTTTACTTAGCAAAATGCCCGTGGACCAAAACGGTCAAATCAAACCTGCTGGCAAAAGGTGACTAAGATCAGCCAGGTACCAGTCTTAATCCCCGCTGCCTACAGGTGCAGTTTTTCAGGTGCAAGTCTTAAATTTATCACAGTACCCATGTTTCATAATTAAACTAATCGCCATGAAATTCCAAGAAATTTAGCTCTGAATTTTTTGAACAAATAAAAATAACGGTCGTCGCAATGTAAAACGATTGTTTTAATTGCAAACGGTTTTCGTATAAACGGATTTTGTGTATAAGGTACTAAACCGCTACTATTTTCTGTAAATTACAGGTAAAGCCTACTGTGCAGTGTGAGTACCTACTTACAAGGGTGGTATTTTTTAGAGGGTTGCACCACCTAATATTTATAGAGGGTAGAAGGAAGGTCACCCACAGTAAATTTGTTTTGCGTGAGTCATGAAGTCATGATCAATTCCAACGGAGGTTCTTCCACTAATAATAACTGGATTTAATTATTTTATTAAAAATAATGCAATAGAAACCCTCTATTTTTGATGGTCTAACTTTAACTAATATTTAAGTAGCGTTAATTCAACTTTAGTAATTATTATGTATATGTAGGTACCTACTGTTTTTCAAATTTTATCACATTGATTTCTTTACGGTTTACGATAGTTAAGTAATCGGTTTGTAGGTATGTGCTTACTTAATTGTAGACTTGTCTTTCTTTTTGTTGTTTTTGTGTCAACATTGATATCAGATACATAATATCGAATATCACCATGGATCAATTTTTTTTAAGTATTGTGTCTGGTATAATTCTCTATAAATAACCGATTTTAGAAAGTTCGGAACTGAAATTACAAATTTCAAAATTTGGAATAAACCGAGAGTAAACAATTGACATAATGATAATACTATAAAACAGACGATCTTTATTGGTTATATTTATCATCAACCAACAAACAAAACGTCAGCAAAGACATGTACTCCTTTGTCAAATTATCACAAAATTAACAATATTACTGTAATTAATTATACACTTGTCGACAGTGCATCAGTTGTCATCAGATAAATAGGTACTCGTATCAGAATAGACTAATAGTCCTTCATATCGAGTGATCTTATTGACACTTCAAAGAACCGAATGTTTATTTACGAATTTATTTACGAAACCGCTTTTTTCAGAATTCATGTTATTATGCCCCTCAAACAGAAATAAATTTTTTCTCGGTAATATTTTGACCTTAATTCGTAGGAAGGAACTAGGATTTAGATGGATAGGTAATCGGATAGGAATCTTGCGAGGGCAAACCGCTGGCCAAAATTTGCACAATAAAATAATATTTTCATAATTAATTAGGTACTTATCTATAAAAAAAATAGGTACACGAGTATGACTTAAAAATGATATAAAATGATCGAAAATAAGAAAAAATGAGGAAATTCATCTTTTAAAAATATATGTAAAATAAAATGGACTTACACAATGCCCTGAATGAATTTTATTTGGGAGACCAAGTAAATTTAATGAAGTACAAAATTATAAATAAAATAAAATGTAAGCAAGTTTAATTATCAAATTGTGTACAGCGCGGAATATGTAGTTAGATATGTTATAATTTAAAAAAGCCAGGAAAAATGGGGAAATAATTAAAAGAAACTCGGCGCAAACTTCCAACTAAGTACTATATTTTTCTGGAATAAAATTCAATGAATAAGATAAGAAAGTAACGTATTTTAATAAAAGTTTTTTTGATGCCTTCATATCTCAGATTAGTATAACGTAAGAACAAATTAAGAAAAGATAAAAAGTATATTTTATATAAACTGATAAAAAATTCATCAAATTTGACTAAACATCAAAAAGAAACAAAATATCGTTTCCTAAACTCTAAAAGCAATATTTTAACTTGAGGTTTAACCAACTTAGAAGGAAACTAAAAAATTGGGTTCGGAAAAAATATTTTGTAAATTCAAGTAAAAGAAGATGCTTAGAGTTTTTGCCTCACTCTGAGTGATTATATCTGATGCTTCTCTATATGTATTTTTCTCTAAACGCGGAGATTTTGATTATTAAAATAATTTCTACAGGCTATTTTTGTTTTATTAAATAAAATTATAGGTAAGTATCATCTATATTTTCTAGCAAAATGGATAGAACTCTTTATATCCTGGATTATAATAAAAGTTCAATTTTTCATAATTTTCCATATTTTCCAAATTTTTCTCCGTACAATTTTTACGGAATTTTAGATCTCTGATAGGGACCAATCGAAATGGGCCCCTGGGAGTGTCGGGACCGTTTCTGCAAGTACTTTTTGCCTTGTAATGGAGGACG